CTGGAAGTATACACTTTCAAACAACACAAAAATTGTCCAAATCGGTTAATAAATGACGGAGTTCTGAGGTAACAAACATAAAAAAAAATACAGTCGAATTGAGAACCTCCTCCTTTTTGAAGTCGGTTAAAAAAACGTAATATTTATCTTTTCCAAAAAAAACATAAATAAGACATAAATTGCGGAGCCGCGGGCAAAAGCGATGTTATTAGTATAATACCTGTAGTAGTATTACCTGTTGTAACTTAATAAACCTGCTAGGAGTAATATTATAACTCAGTTTCGGACAATAGTTCCATTAGTAATTAACCGATTCAAAATGGCCACAGAACTGAGCCACAGAGCCACAGAACTAAAATATTGTTCCTTACAGGTTGAAGTATTATAATATATTTTTATAGGAGAATGTTAATTTATATGAATATCATTTAAAATATGAGAATAAACACATTTATTGAGAAAAAAACTTGCAAAATAAATTATAAAAGCATTTATCATACAATATTTTTTGTGTATAAATAAGATATGAAATTAGATATTTCAATTGAAAGACGGCTTCAGAACTTTTTCCATTTTCCACCGGATCTCTGGGATTGATGCAGTAAGTTGTTTATGTAAGAGCGTTTGACGAACATAAGCGCTCCGCAAAAGTGAGGATGTATGATACGGATAAATAAATCTATATATACATATAATAAAATTGTAACTAAGTCGAATCTGTACATTAAATATTTTTTGAAAATCTAATTAAAATAGACATTATTATCGATACAGAGTCCGAATCGATAGTTTTAGAATTTTTTCTGTCTGTCTGTCTGTTACCGCATCACGACAAAACCACTGGACAGATTTTGATGAAATTTCGTATGGTGATAGCTGGATATCCGGGTCAACATATAGGATACTTTTTACCTCGGGAAAATATCTAATTTCTGAGAAAAAATACAAAAACTGCATTGTAAGAGTATACTAATATATAAAAACAAAAAATTGGTTTTTGGTCATCTGACCGCGGGCGGAGCCGCGGGCAATGCTAGTGTATTATAAAAATAAAAAACCTGACTGCCTAAAAGCTAACTAAAAATATGAAAACAAGTTCACGATGGAATATAGTATTATACAGTCGGAGACATACATACGACTTCAGATCATTATATATCCTAAACTGTTATTTAAAATGGAAAATGATGAAAGAATCCTAAAAATGATTTTAAATACCTATTCAACGATACCCCACTTGACAAAGTTCGTCGATTTTCATTTTTTTCTTTTTCACATTATAGAACCTAGCAGCCCCCATATTTAATTTTTCTTTATGTCACCTATCTAAGAACGCTTGGACTAATGAGACGAATCTAACGATATCTTAATTAAAGAAATCCATCAAGTGGTTTGGAAGATATGAGGGAATAATTTTTTTTTTAATTAAAAATGAGCTTAGGCACTCTTGACCTTCATCTTAGCTCGAAGGCATAGATAAGGTCTATGATCTAGCGAGTTTGCCCAGGAGAAGCCTGTTTAGCCTGTACCTTAAATAGTTTCAGGTTGTACGCACTCGGAAAAACAAATAAAAAAAAATAAAAAATAAAAAAAACACATTACAAATAAACATACAAAGATAGGCGCGAAAAACATAACTCTTTCCTTGCAGTCGGGTAATAAGTCTGCATACCGATAATATGTTTTAAAAATGATACGCGATCAAACAAAAGAAATGAATGAATATTTTTTTTTCTGTGCAAAAGTAACAAAAACATTAATAGTCGATAGTAGAATGCCAAATAACAATAGCGTCATATTATCACAACAATATAACAAAACTACGTCATTATCGTTATTGAAATATCATTTATTTATTTTTTAAAGTTCCATTTCCTTTTCAATGGTAGATTAAATTCAGATGTCCACCGCGAAATGTAAATTTTCCCATATTATGGACAATTTGATTAAGTCCATCATCCACTCGCCGCAATCACAGCTAACGAACGGCCACCCGCTTACTTGGAATTTATATTTTTATGTAAAACCGTCCAAATTAAGAGAATATACGTAATTACTCCACTCAGCATGTATCCTGCCATTACGCAAGTTGAAAACTAAAAAAGACAGCCAAAAAATGCACTAATAAGTACCAAATAACTGATTGGTAGTTTTTTTCAATTTCATTTACTATAGATACCTAATCGAATATTTCAGAAGTCGGTGTGCTTTGCTTAGTATCGGCTGGCACCGACTTCGAAAATATTTGATTAGATATGTATAGTAAATGAAAACTACCAATTCGTTATTTTTTACTAGTATCTTTTTGATGTCGGTTTTTTTTAATTTTTTCCTTTTTAGTGTAGACATAGTAGTAGCAAAGTAAGAAGAAAGTATTTTAATATAAATGCATGTACAAAAAAATTCATGTCTGTCCTATTCTATCCTGAGGAGTTCCCTCGCCTGAAGTCAGCCATGAGTGCAGCAGCCATGTAATGATGTGTTAAGAACTATATAGCCTATATTATAGTTAAATCCATTTACAAAATTTTGTGTCTTTGCTGTTCGCCGTTGAGGAGTTCCACTATCCACCTCCTGACTTCATCATCAGATCAGCTCAATAATACCAGATTATTGCATTGTTACTAAACTTACATAAGTATGCAAAATTTCAGCATAATCGGAAAAGTGGGTCAAAATTTACTTTTAAGATTTTATTACATTATTAGTTCGTTTTTCCTCGATTTTCTTGAGATTTCATCATCAGATCCTGACTTGATGATAATGGGACCACCTCGGGAGTATACGTTTTTGAACTAGAAAAGATTTTTTTTAAATCGGTTCACAATTGGGGGAAATATCGATGAACATACACAAAAAAAACATAGGTACATATTACAGACGAACGTAGAACCTCCTCTTTTTGGAAGTCGGTTAAAAATTAATAATATCACTGGCGTTTATCTATATTGATTACCGTACTTATACTTAAATACACAATCTATATGTGTATATGTACCATGTAATATATAAATAGGCAAAAACAAAACAGTTCGTACCTTTTTCTCCTCCGTTTGTCAAATGATTTTCTTTTTTTCTGTTTTGTTTAGTAAGTAATATCGTTATTAGTGTTATAAATAAATTGAAAAATAGTTTAGTTTTTAGTTTTCTTTATGGCAAATTCTATTCATTTATATTCATGTCATATATATTATTTTCCTCAAATTTTCTCTATGACTTTTATATACATATATAAAAAAAGAATTTTTTATAATGATTATAGTCGGATTTTGACCACTAAGCGAAAACTAGTTACGAATTACGATACAATTGTAAAGCTTTATTTTAAGTTTTTCTGTTGTGAAACTTAAACTGTCCCATTAAAATCAATCCAGCCGTCATCGAAGGACCAACACATAGACCTAAAAAGAAAGTTAGCAGTGAGCGATAAAATCACTATTTAGTCTGTGCATTTTGTTTGTTTCACTGTAAACAGCCGTCGTTAGTTTCGAAAATAATTTCTAAAATTTACTTTAGTTACCACTTTCCATACTTCCATGATTTAACCAAGCTTTCAAAATCACATCTGCATTGCAGTTTAAAAAAAAAACAAATTAATAGTTTTATTCGATTTAAGATTAGATTAAGTAAACACGTGTTGACTGTGAGGTACGTCTGAGTTTGAAAGTAGAAATAAAAAGCAAAATGAGTTGGCTCGTTAGCTGCTCACGTAATCCGATCTGATTCACGGCCCGTTCGCTACCATTGGACTATTTATTTTTCATTAAATCCAAAGTATGCGAAGTTTACTCATGTTTTTTACAATTTTAACTACATTCGTAAAATGTTGACTTTTGAAGTAGCGCTGATATAAACATGTAAACGGTTTATTTTAAGGTAACTAAGTAAAACTCGGCATGTTAAACTTAAAGATTACACTAATAACATTTTTCCTTTGATTGATCATAATAGCTGAACATAGGATTTATTTCTACATCGGCGTTTTTCATATAGACATATAATAAAATTCTAACTGAGCCGAATCTGTACATGAAATATTTTTTGGAAAGTCTTATTGAAATAGACATTATTATCGATACAGAGGCCGAACCTATGGTATTAGAATTTTTGTCTGTCTGTCTGTCTTTTACCGCATCACGGAAAAACCACTGAACGGATTTTGATGAAATTTGGTATGATGATAGCTGGTTATCCGGGTCAACATATAGGATACTTCTTATTTCGGGAAAATACTTATCTCATTTCTGAGAAATCTATACTAAGCGCTTAAACGTAAGTACGGACGAAGCCGAGCGGAGCGAGGTGAGTCGCTAGTTAAACATATTTCGAAATTTATACTATGTCTATGTAGACATCAACATATTACAACAGGTCAACATATATGAAAATAATTATTTAAAGTAATTTATTGGCCTAAGATTTTAATTTTACAAGATGTTTCGAAATTGAAAAAAAGTCAAATTGACAATTTATCAATTTTATAAAAAGGCAAGGAAAGGTATATAGGTATTATAACACTAGTACTAATGCTATTATACCAGTGTTAAAATAGATTAGGCTACTAATGGTACATTTTAATAGAAAAGAAAGTCTAATAATTAATAAATAATAGTAATAGATATACGAATATACATACGCACAAATAAATGTTATATATACATATATTATGTTACGATAACTTGATTGACCTCCTTGCACGCCATCTATTCTTTGTTGATGGCACAACGTCATAAATAACCGGGTGTACAGAAAAGAAAATCACAAATATTTTAACGTAATTAATTCCTTAGGCATAATAATTACTATTTATTATATCATGAAATACTTATTTTATTTAAAAAACCTTACCAAATATTTCTTAAATACATGAACTCAAATGTCATATTATTTAAAATAAGAACAAAATGTCACTGTCAAAAGTCAAAACTTTCACCAGCTGACAATGACAGATCTTTGTGTTCAATTGCGATGCAAAATTCAATAACAATTTCGCAAAAACGATGGCGATGAGCTATTTAACTGAAAGCGAAGCCCCTCGGGACTTTCGCGTATCTTCAACTGAGAGCGATGGACATTACACAAAATGTGTTCTTTGTTACACTGTGAAAAGAAACTTTTACTGTGCTGATTGTGTTAAAAATGGTAATTTTGTACATACCTCGATGCCTTACTCGGACAGGTGAGTAGTTTTACGCAATTCGTTCATCTCTATGAGTCATTGACTTACTAAGATAACGTAATTAGGTCGAAAAATTAGTATATTAATATTCAAGAAGACAAAGCTACTATCAGAATGGTGACCATAATAATTATTTCTAATTTGATTTTTATTAAACATATTATGTATAAATAGATATGCTTATTCTACATAACTAATATTGTTTGCTAATTAAGTTAGTAAAATGAAAGTAATTTTAGAAACATCTCATTAAAGGCAAATATATCTTAAATATTGATAAAAATAATTGACATCTTAACAAAACAAAGGAGTTGAAATCATTAGAAAAAGAAAGCCACCTAAATAGAATTCTTTTTTCTTTTGTATGATAAAGATGAATATTTATTGTTCGTCAAAAATGCTAATGGATGACATAACTACACTTTCTAACCATGGTTTTTAGAAATATTAGATATTTTTTTTTTGTTGCTATATGTATCAATCTAATTTGATTATATTTTAGATTTTCAGAGAAACAAATGAAATTAATGAGAATAAAACTAAACAGACAACACATACTGGAAAGATGTGAAAAATTACTTGCACCTAAATTAAAGAAGGATATACTTTTAACGGAAACCAAACAATCCAGAGATAAATTAGATTTATTAAGACTTGCAATTGAGCAAAGAAGAAATACAATAGATATAAAAAGAAAAGAACTTAAAGAACTAAAATCTTTAAATAATGAATTGCGATTAAAATTACCAAGATATCACAAGAGAGTATCAAGTTTGGGCAAACACGCTCAAGAACAGAGAATAGAGCTACAAAATAAAATAATTTTATACAATGACCAGGCACAAGCACTGGCAGCATTAAGAAGGTCGAGAATACGGCAGCTAACAAGATATATCTTTCCTATTTATATGAGTTATGATTCCAGGTAACATTGTTTGTTATTTTATAGATGGCTAACTTTAAAATTGTAACTTTCTTTGTCACGATTAATCGGGTCAGTAGATTTAGATTAGAGATAGCTTATTATATACTAGATTAGCTACTATCTTCAATAAAAATGAGTAGATTATTTCTTTCATTTTTTACTATAAAGTTTTACGTTTGACGCAATCATCATAGCATAACTTAATAAAACTATTAAAGGAATTACCAGTTAATTCATGACATGGTCTATGTACTAAGTTAAGTTAGTCTAGTACAAAGTTTCTTGATTTCTGGGATATTATTTTATATAAAAAAAATGGACAATTATGACTGTTTATGACTTATTAGTGTTACATGTGACCACTGTTTTAAACTATCATGTACCATATTTTAAAATCGTTTCATTTCTCCTATAACACAAAGTATTTTTCAGTGACAGTATAGAAGACTTAGAGTTTGTTGGTGAAGATGCAGAAGAGGAGACCCCAAAAAGAACCCAGTTACACATAGTAGCTCCATGGATTGATATCGATACAGACTACACACAGCTACAGAATTGGGGTAAATCTTTAAAGTAATTTATTTCTAACATAGGTTTTGTATAAACTCTGGTCTTTACAGTATCAAAATCTAAAATAATTATAATAATAGGGAATATGATTGTTTTTTTTTAATACAATAGCTTACATCGTTATATAATTGTAAAAAAAATATACAGTTCGAAAAAACTAAAATTCAGTCGAAACATTGGGAATATAATAATAAGGTATTTAGCAACTTAAGAATTCACGCGTTTAAGTCCTGTAGTGTTATTATTATACAATCTCCTGTGCAGTTGGTTAGTCTCAGTGAGATTGGTGGCCGTGACCGAAAGTGGTCAGGAGAACATTGTTAACTGCTATACCTGACTTTTAAAGTCCTTTGTTTTTTTATTAAATAACCTCGCATCGTAAGCCCACCCGACCCCATAGTTTTTTTCAGCTTTTCTTTTTTGTTCGCAACATCTTTGATTCTGAAGTAATACACGGACGAATCCACCTCAAATATAATAAAATGAAAATAACAACAAAACATAAAAATGCTCAAAAAAAGGCACGGACGTATGTCTGTGGGTGTTAAACTTAACTGCTATAGCTATGTATGTATCGCAGCGGAACAGAACAGTGAGGTGTCGGAGGCGTGCCCGGCGGCGAGCGCGCAGTGCCGCAGCGGCGCGGCGCTGGCGCTGGCGGCGCAGCTGGTCGCGCTGCTGGCCTGGACGCTGGACGCGCGGCTGCCCTACGCGCTCGCGCTTAGGTATACCTAATGTTCTTTGCTTATTGTACTATACATACATACATATTGTATCAAATATTGTTTAGTACTACATCTATTTATTTATTTATTAATTTTTGGGAAACAAACAGTAAGATAATTCTTATAAATAATTACAAACTAAAACATCCACACACCAGTAAAGTTTCCACCTATAAATATGTCACAGATAGGTAGAATAAACATGATAATTAATTAGCTTAAACATTAAAACAATCAAATAAAAATTTTAACAATTCTATTAAGTGTTGATATATTATTTACTAGTGGACCTGAGTAGCTCGATGTTGTCCGTTTTTTACCGTTGAGGAATCTATGTGCACCACCTCTACAATGGATGGTTTTGTGGAGACGCACTGGCTAGAAGAGCTCGTTAATGAGACGTTGCAGGGTCGAATTAAATAAGGTTTTAATATACATATATTAAATTGTAATATACTGAATTTTGTTTAATATATAATATGTAAAAAAAAACAATAGCATTCCCAAGGAGGGTTGATGTCAGGCCGGTCGTGAAACTTTTGCTAAAATCGATCAGCAATACGAAAGATGTACTGCGCCGACTTCAAGTAATTGGAAAATGGGCAGGGAGATGTTGATTGATTCTTTAATCATCCTTTTATTTCTTAGAGGATTCTTTAAAAGTGGAGTATACATCCATATAATAAATAAATATAATATTATGAATGTGAAAGTGTATTTGTTTGTTCTTTTTTTGAAATAGAGCGACGGATTTGCGTGATTATGGAGGGCTGGAGAGTGGTAAGGCTACGTTTGACCACGGGAGAATATCCTATTCCCACGGGAGAACATGTTATAATATAATCTCACAACAACTCATCATGCCTATGTATTTATTAGGCATTTCACCCAAAATAGGATGGTTCAAAAAAAAATATTTTTGATTTTCTTAATATTTTAGTATTATTTAGTACCTTCTCCTCAAAAGAGGTTTCCTGGTAAATTTTGATATTTTTTATGATCACTGGTTCAAATCCGCTCTTTTTTTGTTTTTTTGCTCATAACTTTCTTAATAATGGTCTAAGTCCAATTATTTTTTCAAAATTTTTGTTTTTGGAAGACGTTTACAAAAAAAATCGCGTGGAATGCTCCTTATAATAAAGGTATACTCTGTATAGTCAATGTATTCCACTCTATCCGTTAAAGCGTACCTTGAGTGTGTGTGTGTGTATAATCGAGCAAGGCGTGCCCGCAGCGAGTACAGCGCGCCGGTGCGGTGGCGCGCGTGCGTGGCGCGGCTGCGCGCGGGCGCGGCGGCGCTGTGCGCGCGCGCGGGCGTGGCGGCGCCGCCGGCCGCGCCGCTGGCCGCGCTGGCCGGCCTGCACGCGCTGGCGCTGGCCGCCGCCGCCGACCACCCGCAGCTCGGCAGGTACGTGCGGAGGGCATGTTTGTGTGATGACCACAAATGTTTATACTTCACTCATGGGTGTTTATATTTAAAATATGTATGTACATATTTAAATTTATATATATGTAGTGTATCAACTATCTGGTATCCATAACTTAAGCCTCGTAACTTACCATAGAATTAGATGGTGCTGTGTATTAATGTCCCAATATAATATTATTGTAATTTTGTTACCATTTTTTAAGATTTATTCTTGACTTTATATTGTGTTATATCACTATTATGTTATAGTGATTTATTTTTATACAAGTCTAGAGCATGCTTAAGCTTGTCTTAAATAAATTGTTTGTGACATTTCAGTACTTAAGCACTCATTTATAATGCCTTATTTTTACGCGAGCCTGCTATATATTTTTCTTTTATGTAAACTAGATAATGCGATTATCGGGAAATAATGGATGTGTGTGTTCTAAACCAAATCTACTGAACGGTTTCTCATATTAACCTTTAGCTTCAAATTTAATACGTACCTATATCAAACTAAATCTCCGAAATAAACCAAAAAAAAATAATAGTTTTATTTAAAATGTCAAATGTTCGCGTAAATCTAAGAAAGTATTATAAAAAAACCACTCGCTATAAAGTAAAGAAAGAACGAAACTTAACTACCAACCCGCGTTATCCAGCACTTGGCCATCGTGATGGACTATAGTATAATCCCTCGTATTAAAGGGAGGATAGGATAGGTACGTGTTTGATCTAATATCCTGATGTCCCTAATATTTAGGGGAGGGTGGGAAATTTAAATGGTTGAAGTATTATTATTTGGCCGTGCAGCGTGGAGGCGTGGTCGGGGCAGTGGGCGGCGAGCGCGGCGTGGGCGGCGGCCGGCGCCGACGACCTGGACGAGCCCGAGCCGCCCGAGCACCTGCACTGGCCCGACACGGCGCAGGTCAGACCTGCCTTTTAGAACCTTCAGCTGATTCATTATTACATGACACACTGCCTTTCAAAACCTTCTCAGCTATCTGTTGCATAATAAATTGCTATCTAGAACCTTCCAACATATTGTTGCCACTAAATTACATTAGTCTGACCATGGAGAAAGATTTGCTCTTTAGTTTCTTGCCTAAAAGTGTACATGTAATACAAATATTGTGTAAGTATATTTAGTTTAATTTTATAAATTTTAGGATATAAGATGCAACGTATGTAATATTCTCTTGTATATTTTGATAAATGTGTACAAAATATTATAAGCAAATTCCCTATTACAGATCGAAGAACTGAGCTGCACGCCGCCCGCGCCCTCGCTCGTGACGTCGGCGGCCGCGTCCCTCGCCTCCATGTGGCGCGGCTGGACCAAGTAGCCTCACTCTACCCACTTAGCTTCCTAAGCCCCCACTCACAAGGCGACGTGGCCGAGACCATGGTCGCTGTGACGAAGACCATGGTCGCAGCGACGAACTATTCTTCATATGATGATGCTGCGTGCCGCCACATAGCTAACATCTCACCTCTCCCCAGATAAAAACAATATCGTTTAATCACATGAAATCTGTAATGTTTGTCAAGTACGTTTTATGACGAATCTCAATAACGTATCTATCTGTAAATTTCCTTACTAGTGATAAGAATTTGACATAATTTGTAAAAAGCTTACGTAAAATTTCTAACTCTAGTAAGTAAAACTTAAGTTAGATAGATTATTGAAATCCGTCATTAAGCGATCTCATTGCAGACTACCTTACCGATAGGTCTTAGGGATTATTAGCAAGACACTTTAGGACAATAAAATTGTATGGTAGGTACGTGATGGTACGCCATTAGGGTACGGCTGGTCTGATACAAGATTCAATATAACACTGTCGTCTTGCAAATTGTTTTACTTTTTTTTAATACTGCCGTCATAATATAGGAGGCCGTAACTAACAATTTGGTCAAAAATGGCTTAAATGCAGATAAGGAATCAGCAAAAAAATGCTACTTGATATTCTTACTCACAAAGCTCTAAGTCTTATGAATCCGGAGATACCATAACCATTTTCATCGTAACTACGTATAAACTAACTACGAAGTACTAAAACAAAACCAAATATCTCGAAATCAACATTGACGAAGTTGCGTCCTTCTTCTTTATGGCGGCAGAATAGGAATTTTAATAATAATAGTATTTCATTATTACACGTAGTTTATTAAAACTTTTAATAAATAGTTAGACCACAATTTATAATACGTAGTTGTTTTGCTGCTTCATGCTACGTTTAAGACATTATAGATACGTAAATTCATATTCCGCCTGTTTTGATCGATGCCTGGTAGATGGCGCTTTCGCCAAAAGATATATTTTGTCATAAATAAAAAATACTATCATGAATACTACAAAAATATGTAAATATTATTGCAAATTGTTACTAATAATGCTAGTTCAAAGCTAGTAAGCTAATATGAAGCGAGTAACAAAAAAATATATTAGGAAATATACAGATTCATAACTTTTGGTTGTTACTTGTTGTTTTTTTAATAGATAATTAAAATTTTATATTTTGGATTTTTTTATTTTTTTTTAATATTTTCAAAGTCGAAAATTAAATTAATGTAGATAGTAGGTAAAAAAAATGTTTCCAGTAGCTCCTTAACCTGTGACTATCAATGCAAAATTACCAGTGTAAATAAAAAATGTGATTAAAAATGGCGGACGGCTTAATAGACGGCTCGATATAAATGTATAAAACTTCGATCAACAATACTACTAGATAACGTGTCACATACAAAATCAAAGCCAAATTTTGTCCGCGCGAATATGTGCTTATACAGCTACATTTGTATACTAACAAACCATGACAAATGTTTTATTTTCAAGCTAATCAACACCATAGCACCTTGTAATAAAGTCACAAATCTTCAAATTATCATCATACACTTACGGTCATTTCGTAAGTTTTATAATCTTTATTGTAAAATCAACCTTATGTTTAAACAGCATAAAGCACTTTTTCCCGTTGTTGGTTTGTGAGGTAAAGCGTTATCTTTTGTTTCTGTTTGCTTCTTTCAATTTGCGCATGCATTGGCCAACCTGGGCCAACGTTCTTAGCTGATTTAAAATTGTTCAAAATTTCATTTTTATATTATTTCGTAGGTTAAATCTTAAAATACTGACTTAATCTACATGTACTTACCGAAAAAAAACATTCTGGCTGAAAATTTTCTTCTTCGCGCATTATTTTTGCAATTTTTAAATACACATTGCGGCCTTGTGAACGTCTTTGCGTTGGCAGTGTTTAAATAGAACTAATCGAAATATACGCTCACTTTGCAAGTGAGCTTATATTTACCGAGACGGATTTCTTATGCCGACCCGATATCTAGTACTATTGTTGATCGAAGGTATAAAATGACTATTTCAAATTTTATTTTGAACATTTTTTATCCTTTTAAAATTTAATATACTTTATTATGGAAAAAATACATTACTTTTTACAATAAAATAACATTTTTTTAAAAAGTCTCTTATTTATAGTAATAAATATAAAAAAATTCAAGAAATAACACAACAGACGGCGACAAATTCCGAGCAAAAATTTAATAAGAGCGACGCCATTTACAATCCCATTCTTTATCGCTTCAAATTATGTACATGTTACAGTCAAAATTCATTTCCAGTCAAAACTAATTTGACTGACAAAATCAGTAAAACTAGTTAATAATAAATAATTTTATTTTTGCACACTAATGTTAGTATGTCGTTGTCTCATTAGAATGTACTACTGTGAGAATGTGTGCTCTGTTAGCGACTTGTGTAATCTATACAGATAATAAAATTGTAACTAAGCCCAATCTGTAGAATAAATATTTTTTGAAAAATCTTATTGAAATAGACATTATTATCGATACAGAGGCCGAATCTATAGTTTTTAGAATTTTGTCTGACTGTCTGACATACAGACACTGTCTGGGAAAGCATCACGAGAAAATCACTGGACAGATGAAATTTAGTATGATGATAACTAGTTATTCGGGTCAACATATAGGATACTTTTTACTGTGGAAAAATATCTCATCTCTGACATATCTATATTGACCGTTAAAATGTAGTAACTAAATATGTAAATTAAAAGTACTTCTGACTGTTTTTGTTAGTCAAAATTAGTTTTAGCGGACAAAAGTTTTGACTGTAACATAAATAATTCTATAAAAATACAATTTGTTTTCAATTTAATAGAGGTTTAACTTCATTCAGCTACATAAATAGAATAAAGCGAAGTAGATGTGTTCGTCTGTCTGTTTCACCGGTAAGCTCTTCTAAACTACGCATGAAATTTTGATACGGTTTTCACTATCATCTAAAGTCTGTTTTTTAATCTCAGAGACTAAATTGACACATGCAAATGTCAAATTTGTAAATAATGTTGCCAGCTCTTTTATGCAGTGTTGTGCCTACGATACCGGTTTGTTGAATCGTAACTTTTTATTTTTATTAGACGATTCGGTTCAAAGTTTTATATTCCAAAGCGTATCATTAAAATTCACATAACTAAATTTAAGTATACATTATTAATAATTTTGTATTATTACGTTTGAAATAAATACCTACACATTATTTCAGGATAACTTATTATAAAAAAACGGTACTTGATTTTACTAACGTTAATTTTATAGTGGCACATTACTATTTAAGAATTGCAAAAAAACTAAAGAAAGATTAAAAAACAGACTACTTATAGAAAATTTCTTCCGGAAGATTTATATATAATACATTTTTTTTCATTTCTGTTTGGCGGCTTTTTTATATCACTGCGACCATTTCTGGTCTATTGTGATCGCCGCTATTTTGTACTAGAGTGAACCACTAAACCCTGCTGATGTTAAGAACTGCAGGATTTTCTTAGGGTTGCACTCTTTTATTTCATCTAGGCTTGGAAATTGTTTACCTAGATGAATACTACGTTTGTGCATGAGCGGTCCACATTCCCACAGAAGATGCAGTGGCGTTTCGTCTGCCTCCCTGCAAATTCGGCAGGTTCGCGTTTCGCTCAGCCCCAGGTTGAACATGTGCTTATTTAAGCAGCAGTGTCCAGTAAAGGCCCTTACCAGTATTCGTAAGGTTTTTCTGTTTAGCCCTAGCATAAGATTGTTAAACCTTTTGTCGTAGGCTCTAATTAATGCCTTGGAGTGATTCATTCCATTTGATTCAGTCCAGGTCTTGTTCGCAGTCTTAAGACATGCTATCATTAGGGTTCTTTGAACTAGGCTCTTAGGTATCCCACAGAAGGGCTCAGGGCCCTGCTGTATGCCAAGAGCTCCCCCTCTAGCGAGCTTATCGGCACACTCGTTGCCAATTACACCTGCATGACCCGGTACCCATCTTAACACTACTTTGTTACTTCTTGCTAAGAGGTTTAGTCGGTCCATGCACTGCTCCACTAACTTTGATGAGACTATGTTTGAGTCCAGCGCTAGGAGTGCTGCTTGACTATCTGAATTTATATAGATAGTTTGATTTGTGTAGTGCTTAGACAAATTAGCTTCTACACATTCTAGAATGGCATAGACTTCTGCTTGGAAAATAGAGGCAAATTGTCCGAGGTGTATGCTTTTGCTAAACCTCGGTCGCTCTCCATATATCCCACAGCCAGCCTTTGCTTCTATTTTTGAGCCATCTGTAAACCAGATGAGAGATCCGTTTTTATGGATTACCTGGCTTTTAGTCCAGTCTTCCCTTGACGGAAATTCAATTGTATAATACTTTACAAATGAGTGCCGAATTAACATGGCATCAGTCGTCATACCAAGTAGCGGCATTTCTTGTAATGAGTCCTGTAGGGTCCTCATTTTTCGTGAGAGCCAATGAGTTCTGCCTTGGATTTTAGCTCTATGCATGCTGGCTTTTGCCTCCTTTTGTATGAAAAGGTCTAAAGGTGGCAGCCCGAGTAATGCATTTAGTGCCTGACCAGGGCACGTAGACATGGCTCCTGTGGTCATTAGACAGGCTGTTCTTTGTAGGCTGTCCTAGTTTTTGAATGGCTGTCGTCTGCTTGGCCTTATTGGACCAGGCTACCGATGCATACGTGATAATTGGCCTCACAATAGCAGTGTAAGTCCAAAGTGTGTTTTTGGGATTTAACCCCCAATTTTTACCCAACATGCGGCCACTTATTCCCAATGCCATCTTGGCTTTACTTAGGACTGCAGTTAGATGCGGGTTCCACGTCAGTTTTTGGTCTAATGTTAGTCCCAAGTATTTGACTTGCGTGGAAAATGCGATTTGTTTGCCATTAAGCTTTGGCATGACTAGTTTGTCTAACCTTCGCTTGTTTGTAAAGGGCACAATGACAGTTTTGTCAGCGTTGACTGATAGGTCACTTCTAACACACCAGTCACTGACAATGTTCAGACCCTTCTGCATTATACTTGAAAGTGTGGATTGGCAGAAGCCCCTTGCTATGATTACCAAGTCATCAGCATAGCCTTGCGCATCAATGCGGAGTTTTGCCAGTTTGTGTAGTAATTCATCCACAGCAAGTGTCCACAGTTGTGGGGATAGAACTCCCCCTTGCGGACATCCTCTTGCTGTGGATATATAGATAGTTGTGTCGTGGAGGGCTAGTTTTGCTCTTCTGCTGGTGAGCATAGATTTTACCCACTTTACCGTTGTTGGGTCAACATTTTTAGTTATCAACCCATTTATCAACAGCGAAGTAGAAGAGTTATCAAAAGCACCTTCGATATCTAGAAATGCACATAGTGCTATTTCCTTGTCTTCTAACGCCTTTTCCACTTGGTCTATAAGACTTGTAAGGGCAGTCTCATCGCATATAATACATACATATAGTATAGAAAAGCCGATAATTTCAAAGATTTGTAATAATGTCGTATTTTGGGCGCTTACATTGCTTATGGCTAAACCTGACGAGATAGATCAAAACAATGTACTAAAACTTGTAGGTCTTAAAAAGGCCTACAGAAAAGTCCGCTATATTATGTCTATCTCCTAAGGCACGCTAACAATAAATATTTTTATCTATATAAAACGCACCTAGGGACGCACCCGAGCGAAGCGAGGGTATATCGCTAGTTAAACATAAATACATGAAGAAAGCTTGAAATCATTCCCAGAGAAAAGTTCAGAAATGAGTTGGTTTATTTTTAATACTTTAAACAAAATTATGTACATACTTAGATAATAAATATTTTTTTTATTACAACAGTCTTTTCATTTGTATAAATCATAAATAAATACATTTATTAAAAAAATACCACTTTTTTTACTTTTTTAAAAAGATACTTCTCATTAAGTAATAGAAGTAAAAATATGCTACAAATAAATTTAATATAAACTATGGAGTTTTAGGAAAAAAATAACAAACAATTTAAGTTTAATAATATTTAATAATATAAATTATAACAAAATACGACTAGTAAAAGTAAAACGATTAAACACCTAAATGCATATACGAGAACAAAATTTCAATTAATAAATAATATAAATTAAATAGGAATACCTTAGAAAATGAGTGTCGTCGTTTTGTCAAAAGATTATAGGCTTTTTATCAAGTGACATACAAACACTCGTAAAATATACAACGTCTTATTTATCTATCCTAATATTATAAAGAGGTAAGTTTGTGACGGTATAGGGGGTAATCTCTGGATCTACGGAATCGATTTAGATGAAATTTGGTAAGAAGGTAGTTTACAACTCTGGAAGGACTTTTTATCCCGGAAATCATCCCTTAAGGGGGTGAAAATGGCGATGAAAGTTTGTATGGGGAAGCAAGCTAGGGACGAAGTGAGTCGCTACTACATAATATGTATATAATAAATTGTTTAGAAATGTTCAATAACACCCCTTGGCCTTTGATCGGCCAAATGAAGCAGCAATGGAGGCAAAATATTTTTCTATAGGTACGTCACTTTTGGTCGCCATTTTAGGGGATAAGTCCCGTTTATCGATTAGTAATCGTTGCACTACGTCTTAGACCTAACGCCTCATATACATAATATCTAATATTTCTATATCGCTAGGTAGTTTTAATAGAGATATAGCACATGACTATTTATATCTCTTTTGTAACTGCACGTCCTCTTGCCTGTTAGATAAGAGGGGAAAATATAACGGATGCCACATAATACGTGTAAGGCCCTTCTCCCATTACGTAAACATGTCGGATACAATACTCAAGTCGCATACTAGCTAAATACTTGTTGGCGACTCGATTCGCACATTACGCTATTGAAAAATAGCAAAATGCAAAATTTGTTTTGTGTTTTTTTAATAAACGGACGATTTGTTTCGAGATGCGCAGGAGACGCGTACGATACCGGAGCGTGGTGCGGGCAGCGGCACTAGTGTGCGACACTCCGCCGCGGTCACACTGCGGGACTCGCGAGTTACTATAGTCGCCTGTGCGTATCGCAATGGGAGAAGGGCCTAACACAAACTTTTTTATTATTCCTGTGAGATTAAAACGGATCGGTCATTTGAAATAAAACAGTTTTTGTTTGCGGCTCGTATCCAAATAAGGGGTCGTCCATTAATCACGTGATGTTTTTAGCAACTTTTTAACTCCCCCCTTCCCTCTGGTGATACGCGATGAGGTTTTAGACTAACCCTCCCCTCTATCCAATATCACGTGTATTTTTTAATACAACGTATTTTGAAAATTTTCAGAGTATTATTTTAAATACAGGTAGGTATAGTCTAATTTAATTCTAGAAAATTATGCACCGTGATAAAAATGTCCAGACAGACGTTAAGGTTGCAGTTCCTGAAGCAAATATTAGCTCTCTTGCACATGCTCTCTATACCACTGCGGAGAAGGCAGGTCTGGAATAAAACTTTTAGCACTGATTTTGTTACAACGTCACGGTCGTTGATAACCATTATATTCCATACTTCTGCAAGACCTTCTCCAGTCTTCTGAATTTAATGAAAGAACGACCAACGACGAAATTCAATGAAAAAATAAATACACGTGATATCTCACTACTCCCCCTCCCCCCTTGTGATTGTGATTTCGTGATTTTTCCGAAGGCCCTACCTTTCGAGCTTCACATGATTAATGGACGATCCCTAATGTATTATAATATTAGCTTTATAATTACATTGTATTGATCAATCTGCCGATAGCATTAAACGTATGGACTTCGAGAACCAAAACAGTATATAATATGTACATCTGATCACGGATGAAAATATCACTGGTAGTCAAGCAAATTCATAGGGGGCTGCGCCAGCGCCGCCGCGCGTCCGCCAGCGCCGCGTGCGCGCGCTCCACGCGCTGCAGCAGCTCCTCGGGCGGAGACACCTCGTTCTGGGGCACGGGAGGAATAAATTCTCATTTTGTTAATGCTGTGACAATTATGTGCGAATCGGAAGCTCCGGACTTCGGGATCAAAAAAGTTATCTCATAAGACTCGAAGTCATGAGCCGGCATATAGTCGAACATATCCCAATACTATTATTGGCTTTAACGAAAATTATGTTATATGCAAAAATTATTAAAAAATACTAATATTCGTGACAAATGACTTAAATTTAAAGCACTCTTTCTCGTGGCAAGTGACTTCCAACTGTCATATAAAACTGACTTGTCGGCGTTTAATAACCTTATTTTATCAACCAATCTCGTTCGTGTCTTCTCTATTCTACGTGACATTGGCGAAGTAATCTCTGCTCAAGTAGCACGCTTTGAAGTCGTTAACAAAAAAATGAATTAAATCGAGTAACTGGTGACTCAGTGAACGCGCTCAATTGGTACACCGAGTGACGCGGGTTCGAATACCGAACCTCGCACCTATGATATTTTCTTATTGAAAACCTAACAAGTTTAGGAAAAACATGTGAAGTCCGCCAACCCGCACTTGGCTAGCGTGGTGGACTATGGGCTGATTCCCCTCGTATTGAAAGGAGGCCCGCCCCCAGCAGTGGGACGTTAAAAAGGCTGAATACTTACAGAAGAGGAGTGTGGATAGAAGTATATATGTTCCCGCGAGAGCGCGCGCGCCGTCGCGGCGTCGCGGCGCTGCGGCCGCTGCACGCCCGCCTCGCGCGTGCGCGCGCCTTCCATACACTGAGCCTGTGAAATATTTTGCTTATTTACTTGTTTTGTTTGTACATTCTTTTACTTACAAATACTTCATGTACCTAGTTACCAGATCTCGAAAAAGATTTAAAAAATAATTCCGGTAATGTAATGGTTAAATTCATCGCCGAAAATCGAAATACGTATAATAATGGTTAACAATTATTCTTAGAGAACGAGCCAGACTTTTGATACGGAAATAAACCTGATAATTTATAAATTCGCCAAATTTAAACGCACAAAAACACAATTTAACTGGTTAATTTCGATCATAAAACCTAAATTCGTTCAAATCCATTTTGCGGGTTCTAAAAAATTCAAAACAAAAAATATAAATATGTACTATAGGATTTAATATGTACGTGTTGTACTTACTTTATCTCCATTCGCACTCTTCTTTCTTAACAAACGTACAGGCGGAGTGGGAGGCGAGGGGCTATCTGTCTCGCTCACTCTTGCACATTTAGAGCATGTCGTCTCGCTCATGCGTACGCGACTCGTATCTTCTAAAAACTGTGGACATGTCTCGCTCGTACGGAAAGAGCTCGCATCATGTCGTCTCGTTTCATTCAAGTATGACGAGCTTGCCGTCTCGCTCGCACGCACTCGGCTAACATCGGAGGGCCTCGGCTCGTGCAGATACCTGGAGCAGCACGGGTCGTTCTCGCTGGCTGACTCTGTGTTGGAGTTGTGCGACTGGAAAGAGCGTATTAGCAGTTCTTGCTGTTTGATTTTCTCTTCTTGTTGCCTGTAAATAATATTCTATTATTATTAAAAATGGGCGTTCGTTCGGTTATTCTCAAAAATTACTGAATAGTTATCACCAATAAAAAAAATGATTATCTAGGAGGGTCATAATTTACAAGCATTATGCTGAAATAAAATACGGTTATGATTATATTTTTGAAATAAGTTGGAAAGAATCTTCTATGTTAAACCACTTCTGGTAAGCTACTAGTAATAAATAATACAAGTCACTCATTGATTTGGTATATTTGTAAAATAAAAATATGAAGAATATGAATTTCTTGAATCCCTTATGACTTAATGAATGAATCTGATGACTCACGAGTGTCGGTCGCGCTGCACGCGCAGCCAGCGCCGTACGCCGCACACGGCGCGCTGCGCCTGCGCACACAGCGCCGCGCCCCGCCGCTGCGCCTCGTGCAACTGAGATTGCAACTCCGACGCCAATTCGGCCTTTTCCCTTGCGAAATATCAAAAATTGAGATTATTTTTGAAGCTATACTTTTTTTGGAACAAAAATATGAGTGAAAAAACAAAATTACAAAAAAAATTTTGGGACAAAATTTTTACGATGCGCGCGCATACTGACAGCCAAAAAGCGATATAATGAAGTTAGCTAAATTCCTTTTACAAACATAGAGTTGTGACATACGGGATGAATCTTTAGCTATTTTTGTACTGTTACACCAAAGAAGTATAACTTCTTACGTGCGTACATATGTAAGTACACACACACACGTTTTTCTTTACTGTGCATAAAACTAATAAGTAGTTCTGCAGTGGTCAAAATATGTAAGAATTAAATCTATTATTTTTATTTTAAGGCAATAAACGTTTTATTATTATTATTATTACATGTATCTCTGTATTTAGTAGGCTTCCGTAGCCAATACATAGAAATCATTTAAATTTTAAAATAATATACACAATAAATTTGTTATTAATAAAAAGTTTTTAACAAAAATGTAATTTCATTTACTATACTCGTACATAATATTTTCGAGGTCGGTGTGCTTTGGTTTGTATCGGCTGGCACCGACTTCGAATATATTTATAAAGAAGAAAGTATTTTAAAGTATAAAAGTTTTTTTAGTTACTTTTATTAGTAACACTAAAAATTCTAGCTATAAAATCCGATTCTAACGTGTTAGGTTTGTCAAATCAAACAAAATAAGCCCAAACTCAAAGTATCTACTATTAGCCGTTGTCCACCTTTTCACCTTCTGGCCTTACTATCAGATCAGGCTAACGATACTGAAACATTGCACTATCAACGAAAATAGAAACACTTGCAAAGTTTCAAGTCAATATGACAATTAGAAGTAGTTTAAATTCAACATTAGCTATTTTCCCATCCTTAGGGGTGGTGTTTTTTTTTTTAATTTAAATGGGACCAATCTGGAAGTATACATTTTTAAACAAATTAAAATTAAAAAAAAAAAAAACAATTTTTCGGATTTTTTTGCGAATTTATCGGATTTTTCCGGAGAGACTGGTCTCTTCCGTGACCATGATTGCTGTAAAGCATTCGAAACGTCAGGAACCAAAAATCAAAATAAATTCGCGAAAAAATCCGAAAAGATAGTTTTATTTAAAATGTCAAGTATTCGCGTAAATCTAAGAAAGTATTATATTAAATCAAAAATTGTCTAAATCGGTTAATAAATGACGGAGTCTGAGGTAACAAACATAAAAAAAACATACAGCCGAATTGAGAACTTCCTTTCTGAGGAAGTCGGTTGAAAAAGGATGCATCAACCAGGATCCATCTGACACACACACAGTCACAATTATAGTTTATATAGAAAAGCAGTGCATACTGCTAGTATTTTTTTTAAATTAATCATAATCATGGTCGAAGTTGGACCACTCGGCGGACTCATTATTAAGCAGCAGGATGCCGTACTGGTACAGGTCTGCGAGGCGGCGGCAGTGCGCGCGCGCGCGCCGCAGCTGCGCGTCCAGCGCGCGCAGGCGGCCGCGCCCCTCCCGCAGCTGCGCGCGCCAGCTGCGCACCTGCTCCGACAGCTCGCCCACCTCCGCGCGCGTTGCTACATTCTACACAAATTTAAATCCAACATATCTATACAGATAGATAAAATCGAAGTGTCTGTTTGTTATGTCAAAATAACAGCTTTTTACTAATTGCATATGAAATTTTACCCGGTACTCATAAGAAAAACACAATGTTCATAATTTTTGTCTGTCTGTCTGTTTGTTCCGGCCAATCTCCGAAACGTCTGGACCGATTTTGACGGGACTTTCACTGACAAACAGCTGATGTTATACGGAGTAACATAGGTTACTTTTTTTAGAAAAAGAATTAGGGTTCCGCTAAAAAGTATTAAAACCCATCTAGGGACGACCCCGAGGAGCGAAGCGAAAGTAAGTCGCTAGTTTTATTATAGTATAACTATTATTAGACACTATTTTCGCGAAGATCACCTTACTTTCTAGCATACATCTCCCCTAAAGCTTGCCAAAGAGTGTCATTATGTGTTTTCCTTATCTACATTGTAATGCCTGCTGTTTTTTTTTAATTTCGTCCTAACAACATATTTTGTTAGTATTAAATTATTACATCTATTACCAAACGTCGTGAGTTTTTTTCCAATCAATTCAGAAAGAAAAAAAAATGTCACGAGTCTTAGGATAGAAAATGGCAAAATCTAGTATCGGGCGCCAAGATCTATTTTTGGGTCGCTGAACGTAAGTAGTAACTAGGGTACCATAAACATCAACATGTTGAAGCTCAACGAAGAAAGGTCTGCACAGAGTGCACACAAATTTCTTACAGCATACAGTCCTCAACACTCATGACCGCCTGGTACTTTTGTCACGAGTACTAGGAAACCACGAACCTCAAGGAGTGCTCGTTATATATGTAGGGTCCCGTCAAAGAGTGCATACGACTTTCTTGAACACTGTGATGACGTCACACAGGATACTCTTCACATACACACTTTCAAATCACTTTCGTCTTAATTTCATATTATTTTTAAAACGGAAAACTCACATCTTTAGCCATTGCTTCGGCTGTCTGTAATTCTTCCCGTAGTTGCTTGATGACGACCTCCTGGGACTCGCACTGATGCTGCACATTGAAAAGTTCCACTGCCTTATCGTTTAGGAGCTCTAAAATTTACAAAAAAAACAAATCAATAACTGTTTATGTTCTTATACATATGTATTATGTATGTATTTGTTCAACTAAATTAATACTAAATTAACAAAGAGAACGTTGTAATTCTATACTTCTTCCACTCATCTCTATTCATTTTCTTTATATATCTTCAATGTGGATTAATCTATACAGATAAATAAAGTTGAAGTGTCCGTTTGTAATGTCGAAGTAACAGTGTTTTACTAAATGATAATACTTATAAGAAAAACATATTTTTTAAATTCCTGATTTTACCGGTAAATCTCTGAAACGGCTGGACTTATTTTGACGAGACTTTCACTGGAAGATAGCTGATGCTATAGGGAGTAACATATGCTACTTTTATTTTAGAAAAAGAATTAGGGTCTCACTCAAAAAAATTAAAACGTACCTAGGTATGAACCCGAGCGAAGCGAGGGTGGGCCTCTAGTTAATAATAAAAGTGTGACTTATATCGTATCTATTACTCGGAGTTCCAAAATGGCAAGCATACTTAGCAACTAGGCGTGTATGTTTACAACTCTTTCTCCCTTCAATGAAAGGGAGATCAGCTGCCATAGTTCACACTGACCAAATGCGGGTTCGCGAACTTCACATGTCTTTTGAGAAATTGCTAGTTTCTCTCAGACATGCAGGTTTCCTCACGATGTTTGAGGTAATCATGTTGGGAATGATTCGCACATGGAAATATCAGAGGTGCGAGACCCGGGAGGGAGGTATGAGCAACTAATTATAAATTACAAATTACCTAAATAAAAGAACCAAAATACAATATTACCTTCTAGATCCTTCACTTGCAGTGTGAGAGAGTCGCAGGAGTCGACCCGCTCCCGAGAACTTTGCTCTATATCAAACAGTTGCTGTCGAATGTGCTGCAACTATATAAAAACATTGAACAATAGAAATATTGCTAATTTTATGTATTTAAGTAACAAACAATTATTGTTTAAGCAAACATTTTTAATGTATAGACAGGGATTATTATTAATTTTGATATTCACACAAATTTGACTTTGATCTTAAGAATAAAATAATAATAATGGATAATTTTTTCCATTTTTGTAGGCCTGGAACTACGCAAAAACGAGTACGCCTTACTGCTTATATATAACCTAATACATGTCCATGGTGTTATTAGAGAATATTCTGGAAAAAGACACCTACTAGCCGCATTATCGATTTGTCTTGCTCACACACTTCTATTTAATAACGGACAGTTGAATAAATCTTAACGCGCAGTTCATTCCTCTAACTCTATGGTGCAAACCATACAAATGCCTATGTAAGTCAACATATGACATATTAAAAATATATAAAAAATAATATTATTCATACCTCTTGTTCTTTTTCTGTGATTTGCAGCTGCAATTGCTGGTCTTGGTCCTCCTTGCCCTCCAGAGCTTCCTCCAGCTCAGTCACTCTCTGCCGTAGTTCGCCTACTTGTATCTGTTTGTTTAGTGCAATATTTTAATGTAGTTTTAAAGGAAAGACAGAAGTCATGATATGTTAAAGCCATCACTCTAGAAAAATATTTCTCATAGAAAGTTTTTATTATGATTTTAAAGAATTATTAGACGTTATTCACACAGCGTACTATGGCTACATACAGCTATGCTCAAGATTTCTTTGAAAGACAAATTCAGGCATTTAGGCATTAGGCAGATAACTGGTGTCATCGACTTTGTTTAAATAATCAGCAGGCTAAAGTGGACCGTCCATATCTACAGGAGAACGGATAACCGTTGGAGTAAACAGGATCTCGAGTGGACACCACGGCTAGAGTAACGTAGTATTCTGGGAGAAGCCTATGTCCAACAGTGGACTCGAAGGGGCTAATGATGATTAAGCGTTATTGTAATGTTATATATTATTATAATCTACATAGTTGAGTAGGTAAGAAGTACTATGTACACAGTTGATCAAATTTCTTTGTCTTATATTTTTGGCTAAAACTAAAATTTCATAAAAATGTTTTCAATACAAACCTCCATAGTCTCATTCAATTTTTTCAGTCTCGTATTCTCCTCCTCCAGTCCGCACGTACATTCCGTCTGGAAACATGTACATATTATCATTTAAAATTGGTCAAGCGTGAGTCGGACTTGAATAGATTCATAGCACGTGCATTTGTGTCACGTATTATATATAATTTATTATTTAAACAATAGTTTTACTATTATTCTAGGTAGAACGTACCTCAGAAACCGTAACCATACCAAAGAAAGAGAAAAAGAGTATTAAAATAAAATAAAGCATTAAAAAAAATTAAACCCTTAACCCATATTAGTATGAAGACACTTCCTTACGTAGTGAAAAATAAATAGACTAACAGTTTCAATAAGAGAGCTCAAACAGAACTCTTCAAGTACAGATATCTAAAGTGTCGAGTGATAAGCACACGGAAAAGGAAAAAGAAGAGAAGTGCGATGTGACGTATTTTGTATCGAAACCTGTTTCGCCAAACTCACACGAATTAAAAAAGCCCCTTTAATCATACCTTGCACAACAAATAAACAACCAATCAAATATTGGTGTTTTATATTAATCAAAAGTAGGATAATAGCCCATAATTAAAAATCTTTTCCCACTATAAATAAGATTAAAGTTGCTATACTGCAGCACCCACGTCGAGCAGCGCCCGCAGGCGCCGCAGCAGCGCGGCGACGGCGCGCAGCTCCCCCGCCGCCTACCCCGCGCCCTCCTCCCACCCCCACACCCCCTGACAATCAAACGCGGACACGTACATACATCATTACTTTATTTTATTATTAACAGTATTTTCATGCATTAGAAAATAAATATACATTATTAAAAATATGAAAATTAGTTCACATTAAACACATGCTATTATTTAGTATAAAAAATACAATTAAAATGAAAACGTAAAGTATTTCTGCTTTCTTAAAGTATTTACACGAATATTTAATGTTTTAAATACAACTATCTTTTCGGATTTTTTCGCGGATTTATTTTGGTTTTTGGTTCCGGATGTTTTGAATGCTTTACAGCAATCATGGTCACGGGAGAGATATCATGTCTCAACATGTAAATCTGCGAAAAACCCCGTAAAGATCGTTTTATTTAAATTATAAAATATCAAATATTAGCGAAAACCTATGAAAGGTTTGTCTTTTCTTTAATTTCAATATAAAAATCGACCCCGCTTGAGTATTTACCGAATCATTGTTTGTTGAATTGTTCAAAAAGCTTGTGATCTCCGATTTCAAACGTTCCACCTCTAAAGCTATATCCTGAAAATAAAAATAAAACATCTAAGTACATAACGTACATATTATATTTTTTATATTACATTTAAATACCGTATCTATTTGTAAAAAATATAAATGATAATTCATAAAAATTCCAACAAAAGACTAATGCTAAAAGTAAGTATTAACAAAAGTATTTATTGATAGACTTCAAAAAAGTATGTATCAAATTCGAAGTAAGTCTCCTGAATGTTTTACACGAAAGTTAAGGATCTATTTTTATGGTTTCTCGAAGGTCTTCCTCCATAAATAACTCGTTATAAAATTCCAAAAAAAACCCCCTTAAAGATGAAATAGTATGACAAAATCACTGATATACAAAAACTCAAGATATACAATTAGCTTCTCAAAAGTGTTCTCAAAAAAATAGGATTGCGCATTTTTCAAATCTCTTTTGTTCATTGCTTTTCGGATGATACATTTAAAACTTACGTTGTTTCGTAAGTTCGAATCTGTGTTTAGACAATGAGGACTTTTGACTTTTAAACTTTATTTTTGGTTTGACTTAAAGTCACATGTCCACGCCACTTTTTAAAGAGATATTTGTTAGCAAACGTTTATCTATGTTGTTATATATCAATAGATAAAATAAGTTATAACCTGATATTTCTCCATAGAATTCCTTTGCCACACGAGAGAGGTCTGATCGCATTGCTTCTTCTCAAGCCGCATATCGAGGTACGAGCGTCGCAGGACGGTTATCAGTTCTTCTTGCTTGGCCGTCTGAGTATATAATGTGCCAAATCAAATAAATAACATATTTTCTTACTTAAAAAGTCATAAGTATAGATATAAGTAATAACTAATAAGAATAATAGCTACTAGTACAGTAGATACTCAACAGTCTATGTATATATATATAGTAAATATATATATATATATATATATATATATATATATATTATAATAAAAACCCTTATAGGATGATGGTCATGGTTTAAAAACACTACAAATATTATATTAAATTTCCATAAGAAAAAGAACTTTACCCACACAAGAATCTCACCTCATAAAAGCATTCTCTATACAACTCTTCGATCATGGACAAATTGTCACGTAGCGTCTTAACGATTGTGTGGTCCACCTCCTAAAATCACGTACCATTTTCAATACATTTTATTGGAAGAATCACTATAAATAATTACTTAAAAACAAAAATAATAACTTGCAAAGGCCGTGACTGAAAAAAATCAGACGAAATTTTTACTTAAAGCTTTAATCGAATCGTATAACTGTATACCGTGCTATATAATCTCCAGGTTTCTTAGAAATTAATTAAATTTCTAAGAAATTTATTGTTAACTGTAACGCCGGCGTGTCCGCGGTCGTTGAGGGATTATAGAAAATTATAATAATATTATTTTTATTTCTGTACATGACAGCATGATGATTACTTACAAATGAACACAAGTTTAATAATAATCTATTCTGATTCTTTATTCTGCTTAATTTGTATATACTTTTGTAAGTGATTGTATCTAAACCTAATAAATAAATAAACAAACATAAACTAAAACAATATTACGAAAATTTAAATTTTAAAAACATTAAAAAATAATCACCTTTCTTCTTCCATTGAACATGCGATCTCGTAATTACCGCTTGCAAACAAATGAACCAACCGCAGTTCGATTAAAAAAATCTTGATTACTCCTAGCTACGAAAGTCAATTTCATAGAATATTTCATTTGCAGCAAATATTTGTTTCTAGATTAAATTTGTTACTTGAAAGTGTTGGATTATAAAATATAATCTTCTAAAAATACCGGTTAACTGCTATTCTTTCTGTATTCTGAATAGCTTTTATGGTCACTGTTATTATTTTCCAGATACACGAAATATCGAAAAAGATCGCGATAATCATATTAAATATCCCCTTTTATATCATAAAAATATTTTTTGGATGACGTAAAGTACCCGTACTGGTGCTATTTGCTAAATCAAGGCGCTCGAAAACCCAATAACCCACTTCACTTCCTCTTAAAAAATATGTTGGGTCATTAACATACAGCGCCATCTAGTTCCATGGTAAACTACGAGGCTAGTGTTATGGATATCAGTTAGTTAGTACACTACACAATTATACACATAACTTTAAATACATACATTTTATAAATATGTTTATATTGACCCATGACTGGAGTACAAACATTCGTGCTCATCACACAAATGAATGCCCCCAGCGGGACTCGAACCCACGACCGCTGGCGCAGCAAGTAGCGCCACTACAAACAGAGTCAAAAAGTCGGCGTCGTCGTGTATTATTATGATGTAAGATGTTTTTTTACCGTACGTACCCGTGAGTCACCGGCCAGGGGTATATGTATGATCATGGATGGCACTTGTAACAGTACCGAAATATCAGAAACTCACAAAGGTTAGAGCTAAACATAGATAAATATCCCGGTTTGCATCATAATAATAAGGATAATATATTTCATTTACTGACTCTGCGATATAAAAATATATCGACTACTGTAATGCTACATTTGCAGTGCTACAGAATGGACACCTTGATAAATTGACTTGTTACTGTAAACACGAGCGTACCTTTATTTGTGCCGTACACGATACGTCAGCCATCTCTACGTGATTTCCGTCTGCTGAATTACGCGTTTTGAACTGAAATAAACAAAGCTTTCACACTATTGATACTTTCTTAGATTTACGCGAATTTTTGTCATTTTAAAGAAAATTATTTTTTCGGGTTTATTTTAAATTTTGTAACAACTACATATATATTGGCCTTTGATACGTCTAAAACCTTAGTTTCTCCCGTAGCCATGATGGTCATAAAGCATTCGAAACGCAGGGAACCAAAAATCAATCTAAATCTGCGTAAAAATTCAAAAATATAATTTTATTTAAAATTTCATATTATTTGTTAGCATATAATTTACAAACGAGCTCGTGACCACTTGGCTACCACTGCCTTATTACTACTTGCATGTCGCGTTCAAATATATAAACATTTTAGCTTTCACATATATTGTACTTTTACTCTAAGAGAGAATTAAGTTCATTAAATTATATGTATATCTTATTTCAATTTTAAACAATCTAAAGAGAACTTACAAGACTCGTTTGCTGAGTTTGGTGTATTTTCGGTAGAGATTGAGCTTTTGAGATTAATGCCGCGATCCGTGCCTCAGCGAGTGCTAAGCTTTCAGCCTGAACTCGTATAGTCTCTTCCTTATTTTGTAACTATTTTGACAAAAACAAATTTACCATTAAGAAAGTCAATAGAAAAACTAACAACCAAACTCTCTTACATTATTAAAATTAAAATAATAATGAAATAAATAAAGCAATAACTAATATTCACATTATAATCGCATTTTCGAATTTCTTATATAAAAGCAAGGTTTATATACATACATATATGTGCATGTTTGTTAGTCTGTCACGCTGAAGCGGCTGGACGTATTTGGATGTTTAGTACACTGATAAAGTATAACCTGGCGTAGCACATAGGCTACCGTTAGCACATAAAGAAAATTATAGAATTAGCAAGATGCTGCCTTTAATGCATAAAACTAAAAACCCAAATATAATATTTACTCACACTAATCTTTAAAGCTCTCAAATAAATATTAACAGCCACCTGTCCGCTCGCATCCGGCGAGACTAAAGAACCTAACCATGCAATGCACTCAAAATATCAGGAGATAATCAATGGGGCAAAAATAAACCATAACGACCAAACCTTTTGATCCCAGTAGCACCATTAGTTGGAACTTCATTGGGTTCTAAATATAGACGTCGACACAACAAACAAGCTATCCCATCCCTAGTAGTAGTGATGGGAAGCTATAAATATCTTAACCATACGATTGTTTATTAGACCATAAACAAACATTGTGATACTTTGAGTTTTCATTTCACTTTCTTAGTAAATATTTGCATATTCATTAAAATATGTAAAAAGGATATAAAACTGACCTAAACATTTCAAAATAATATGTATTAAATACATCGAATTAGGGCAATACCAAAATAGTTCATTGTTAAATTGTTTATATTTTTTTTTATTCGATTTTGAAGAAACTGTTACAGAAATACAAAATAAGCCAAGAGTAGGTCGCTATTACATATCTATACTAATATAAAGAGACAAAAATTGTTTGTTTGTTTGAACGCCCTAATCCCAAGAACTACTGACCCGATTTTAAAAATTCCGATTGGATTAGATAGCCCGTTCATTGAGGAAGGCTATAGGCTATATCATCCTGCTACTACCCAAGCAGTAATCATAAATGTCAATAAACCGGGCAGACTTCTTCTTCTTTTGAAACTTACAATCTGCATAGTAGCGTGGAGCTTGTTCTCTAGGGATCGGATGTGAGTGGCATCACTCGCAGCGCTGTCCACGCTGGCCGCTCTTATACTTTCCTTAAACAATTGCATTTAATACAATATAATATTAAGCTGCGGTATGATAATCATTCATAAAATAACATATTTAATGATTAATGGGTGCTGTTTTTATCTATACTTATTATAAAAATAAGTCCCCCGGCCGCGTCTTTCTGTCCTCCTGTCTGTCTGTACGCGATAAACTCGAAAACTACTGAACGGATTTTTATACGGTTTTCAACAATAGAAAGAGTAATTCTTGAGGAAGGTTTAGGTATATAATTTATTATGCTTTTATGTAAATTAGCTGAAATACGGCGACAAATGTTGAAGAGGTCGCAAAAAATCTCGCCAAATGGGAACTTTCCACGCGAACGCCGCGTAAACTAGCAAAGATACAGTTAAGTAATGTACTAGAGAATTCAAAATCTATAAAAATGCTACAAAAAAGTCCGCGATAGCATATCTCTATCTCTTACGGTTGACTTACAATAACCACTTTTATGTTAACATTTTTAATTAAAAACATTACGTTATTTTCAAAGTTATTTTCTTTAGTTCGGTATTAATCCTTATCCAAATGAATATTTTAGTTAGCTTAGTCATTTAATGCAGATTAAAATTGCTCTTTACACTAAATCAATCAGATGAATAGTTTTTGAGATATCGTTGTTAGAAGTAATTAGTAGCGAAACATTTTTAATGCTTGGCGAGCATTGAGATGCCTACGGCGAGTCCATCCCCTCTGCCCCGCATCGCTCGACCGCCTGCTCAAGCTATATAAACCGGGCGATGTAGCGCGCGATCCTAGGATACTTTTTACCGCGGGAAAATATCTTATTTCTGAGGAAAAATACAAAAACTGCAATGTAAGAGTATACTAATATGTAACACCTAAGAATTTAGTTTTTGGTCATCTGAACGCGGGCGGAGCCGCGGGCAATGCTAGTCAGATATAATTTATGATCGAAATACAATTTCAAACCGTTTTCTTAATATTTGATTTTCAGACGCCTGAAATAAAAATATCTGGACCGAGTAAAATAGAATTTCTTATAATGTTGCTTGTATAGGCTAACCAATGTTTATATTTCGATGGTACATCGCCCTACAAATAAATATATCAACAACAACACTTCTTTCATCTATAAACAAAGTTCGACACGAGAGTTTCTACCAACTAAATAATTAGGACGCCAACATATATACATATAGGTTTTATTTACTTCGTGCATTGCAATGCTGTTCATATAACGTAAGTCCCCAATCTACTTTTAGCCACACGGTTCTTGGGCGAAAAGAAATTTGCCGCCGTCTCGTCTGTCAACGTCCGGACACTCGCATATCCTTTGAAGTCTACATCTTAATTATATATAATCATTCTGGGAATTAATTTTCAAGTTAAAATAGGTGGTTATGCTGTTAAAGCAAATGTGTTTGTTCGTTAGACGGTAGCTCTTCAATCAAGAGATCTACAGCATGGGGAGAAATTCGTTTTTTTAATCTTAGTTGGCACAATATGGTTATGGTGGGACATTAGTCGTTTGCAAAGTTACCTAATGTTTTATATAGAAACAATTGGATATATATATATATATATATATATATATATATATATATATATGATATGAGAATATGCGTATGATTTAAATAAAGGTGAAATATGTTTTTTAATCTGTATTGCTTTTGAATTAAGCCACTATCAATATATTTTTTATGTAATTTATTTTTGATTAAGAAAATAATTATTGATAGTGCATATATAGGTCCAAATAGACTGAATATGACGTAAAAGTATATAGACGTAGTATAGTATATAGTAAAACGTCAAAGTAAATAGTATATAGTATGTGCCAACCCGCACTTGGCCAGCGTGGTGGATTATGGCCTGATCCCCCTCGTACTGAAGGGAGGCCCGTGCCCAGCAGTGGGACATTAAAAAAGGGCTAAATACATACATACATATAGTATATAGTAGACGTGTAGTCGTAGTCGTCATAACAGAGCAATTAGCGATTTTGTCGCTACAAATTGAGTCGTCATTTCTGTGTATATCATACTGTGACGTCACGCCAATCGCGCGAAATGGCGGGCGTTTAAAAAATCAGTATCGGTATTATTAAGGATATTTTTTTAATTTGTTTTTATACTAAATTTTAGTTTTTTGGAGCTGGATGTTTTTTACCGTTAGGTATAGAACGATGTTAACTATTGTATAAAAAAAACACACATATTCCCTATTGTCACCTAAAACTGGAGAAATAAGGAGAACATAATATTGAGCAATTTTGACCGATAAAGTGTAGCATTTTTCTGCCTCTCTATGAGACAAAAAATGTGACCAGCAAGACGAAAATGTTTCAGATAAAACGTATTTTTATAACATGAAGAGCAAAGATAAAAAGAAAAGAACTCGCGGAAGCGTCGCGGAAATTGTTACGTCCTAAATAGTCGTCTTCGAATTTACGGTTTCCTCGACCAAAGTTTTTCATCTGAGATGAAATTTCAAAAATCTGATACTATAATTAATTCTTCTAAACGATCTCATTTTTAAAAGAAAACGTTTACAGCTTTATCTTGAAATTATTAGTTTATAATGGAAGTTTAAAAATATCAGGTATATAGTCTTCCAATAATTACAAAGAGACAACGTATTTCGATAAGATAGTTTAAATTAAAAAAAAACTTTGGTAGGTGCTGATATTTAATATTGGATCAATTTTTTTATCTCAAACAAGTCCTTTTCAAGTCTTTAAATAATTTGCTATGAAACACCATTCATTACCAAATAAACAAGAACCAACCAACTGATCTGTACATTAATTTTTTTTTGAATATTTAGTACCTTTTAACTCACTATTGTGTAACAATTATTACGAATAATAAGTTTGAGTCCTGGAGCAAAACAAATATACAACCAGTCTGTGTCACAAATTCATAGGTACTTTTTAATAAAATAAGATACAATAACACCCACATTTTTTTTACTTATTCCCTTCTTAGACCTGGGTATTTCCTTGAAATTTTTTGAAGATATCGAGTAACAATGTGATCATAAGAAAACTACTTACTTTAGCGAAATCGCTGGTATCCGAATCTCCGTACATAAGAAGACCGTTGAACATCATATTGATGTACACTTATTTCACAGTCCAATAAACAAACGAGCGTAAATAAACGGTAGTAAGCTCAAATAAGCACGCTTGTTTCAAACACTAATGTTTAATTACCTCCAGCTATTTATGGTAACACTTGAACAATTCATCTGCATATTGAGTAAGCTCAGGAATATATTTTTTAAACATTGATCTAATATGTTTTGAATGGAACTTTCAGAAAATACCTAAATTTGTTGGGACAACACACAGCACCCTCTAGTTCCATGGTAAGCTACGAGGCTTGTGTTAAAGATACCAGATAGTTGATACATCCATATTTTATATAAATACCCATGACTGGAAAACAAACATTCGTGCTCATCACACAAATGAATGTCCCCAGCGGGACTCGAACCCGCGACCGCTGGCACAACAAGTAGAGGCACTACAAACTAAGCCAAACGTGTCGTCAGAAAATAACATAAAATTACAAATAAGCAAACAACAATATGACAAATTGTCTTAAAATTTTGCATTATGTGTACGTAGTTGAGTCAATGTGGAATAAGCTCATAAGTCTCAATCTGGTTATGAACAAATGACAATCGTCTAGACGTCTGCAATGTTTAGAAGGACTTTCTGTTATTGGAATTAATATGGCCTTTGTCTTTCAATTAATGAAATCTTTCAAAAAATTGAAAAAAAAATATTTATAAGGAAACCTCAACAGCTTTTCTAGGGCTTTGAGTTTTTTTTTTAAATAAACTAAATATTTTTTTTAAATATACACACATCGAAGGAACTTTTAAATTCCTTAACAAAAATAACAACATTGATCCATCCATACACTTAGTTGATTTGTTAACTATAAAACACACTGTCGATATCACGATTTTTCATCAAAAACCATTTATTTTATATCAAATTTTAACTTAAAAAGTATGAAAACAATACTGAATCGAACGATAGATAATATAAACAATTCTAAATAGAATAACACTTCATAATATTGTTTCGAACGCAACGCCCGTGTCGGACGTGCAGCGATGCACTGACTCTGGGGGTGGCATCGTATATTTAGAGCGGTCGGTTTGTACGGTGGCGGAAACGCTACTCCCTCGTGCGTTTATAGTTTATCACCTGTGAATGTAGCTTTAGCTATTTTAATAGATTTTCATTCACGACTCATATTCAAGAATGAAATGTCTTATCTATACAAATAATAAAATCATTAAATATTTTTTGGAAAATCTTAATGAAATAGTCATTACTATCGATGTAGAGGCCGGAACTATAATCTTTAGAATTTTTGTCTGTCTGTCTGTTTGTGAACGCATCACGAGAAAACCACTGGACAGATTTTAATGAAATTTGGTATGATGGTAGCTGGTTATCCAGATTAACATATAGGATGCTTTTACACTGCAGGAAAATATCTGATCACTTAGAAATCTATACTAACCTTTAAAACGCAATTAGGGACGTAGCTACTAGCTTGGGAGGGCGAGTCGCTAGTAGTAAACTTTCGCGTATATAACAGTAGTGTAGTGTACTACAGTAGTAATCTGAATGTTAGTTGAGTATTTGAAATCTCGAGCAAACAGATTCCAAAAAGTAGATAGTGATATTCCCGTACTTAATTTATACAATCTTTATATATATAATTCTTCTGTGAGTGTGTATGTCACTGAACTTCTCTCAAACGACTGGACCGATTTTGTTGAAATTTTTTGTGTGTGTTCAAGGGGATCTGGGAATGGTTTAGATTCACAACTTGAATAATAATTTTCATCAAAAAAATTATTAAAAAAAAGTTTGAAATTTTCCAATTAAAGACGTGTAGACAGGACAACGTCTGTCGGGTCCGCTAGTATCTTATATTTCTCTACATGACTCATGCCCTTGACAGTTTTACCATTACCTTTGAAACATTAGCACCCTATCCACGAATTATATACTAAGAAATAGCTGTAGATTTGAAAAGAAGGTGAAAAACCATTGGTATCTAGTTCATTAGACACAAAGCTCCGACGCAGCTTCCGACACAACATTTCGTCACACGAAGCCATTAACAGCTTTAGTACAGTCTTGAACACAATGAAGTATCGAAAATCTAATCTATTTTTATACATATCTATTCATTTAGGATAAAAGCTATTTCGATGTTTATATTACTCTCAAATCCATTCAAACAGATTTTCTTTTTTTTTTATTAGTAGCTACGAGTATTTACGAGCTTTAGTATTATAAATAAAAAAACTTAGAAACAGTTATTTTTAATACATGTATAGGTAGGCAACTTCTATTCATATAGTGATGATACGTTTGGCTCGGTTTGGTCGCGGGTTCGAAACCCGCTGAGGACATTCATTTGTGTGATGAACACGAATGTTAGTACTCCAGTCGTGGGTGTTTAAATTTATATTTTTGTATGTATTTAAAGTTATATATGTGTAGTGTATCAACTATCTGGTATCTATAACACAATCCTCGTAGCTTACCATGGAACTAGATGGTGCTGAGTGTTAATGTTTGGTACATTATATATTCACATTATATATTCATATTCACATAATTTTCTCTAATTTTCAATAATGATTATGGTCAAATTTCGACCACTCGGCGAACACTAGTGTATACAAACGCACCATTTAAATAAATATATGTATATATGTATCTAAGCTCGTGCTCGGACGCTGCGCGCGCGCACGCTTCATTAATAGGATCGTTTCTCTAATGCCAGTTTACGGACAATATATTTCCTTGATTATAAACAGTCTTAAACTGCTACAGAAATAGTCTAACTTCACTTACTCTATTGAATAAAGGTTAACAAGTTCCAGTAGAAGCAGGTGACTAAATTTTAAAGTCTCTGAGATTTTTTAAATAAAACTACCTTTTCGGATTTTTTCACGGATTGATTTTGATTTTAGTTCCCGACGTATCGAATACTTTACAGCAATCATGGTCACGGAAGAGACTAAGATTTTTAGACGTCTCAAATACTTCGACATACTTAGATGTTACAGACAGTGCCTACCTACAAAATTACAATATTTATACAGTAATTCAAAAAAATGATTTATCTTATATATAAAATTTCCATGTCACAATGTTTGTTACCGTACGCCTCCGAAACGGCTTTACCGATTTTTACCAAATTTTATATGCGTATTCAGTAGGTCTGAGAATCGGCTAATATCTAATTTCATACCCCTAAGTGATAAGGATAAGGGTGGTCCTCCCAGACCGCACCCCAGGGACAAACCCGAGCGGAGCGAGGGTGAGTCGCTAGTATCGTATATAAAGAGGAGAGCATCTTGAAACCATTTTTTAATTTAATAATACAAAACATCAAGTAATAGCCTATAAATAAAAAAATATCTACTACTTTTTTATATGTGAAATATAATATTATAATTAGAAATACAGACTCACTTGTGCGTTGGACGTTCCATGCTTACTATTCGACGTCGCTTCTCTGTAAAAATTAACTTTTATGTATAACCCAATTTTTAAACCAACTTTTTTCATACTAAATTTATGAGCTCCAAGGGTATATTAGATCTCTGAAATCATTTACTCGCAACTTTATAATATAACGGCTACATAAAAGCAACTGGTGTTACAATTATACCAGAGTCCGTGGGTTTGATTCTTACGTTATACCTATTCGTTTATTCCGTTATCAAAAAAAACTTAACAAGGCTTATTGACTTACATGTTAATATATTTATTATACTCTATATAATAATATGATAGGGATGTAGAAAATTGACAAACAACAGACATATTTATACAATGCGGGTCACACTCCATCTTATCTATCGCGATATACATATATCTACTATCTATATTTCTATACTAATATTATAAAGAGGTAAAGTTTGTAAGTTTGTGGCCTTGTAGGGGGTAATCTCTGGAACTACCAAACCGATTTAGATGAAATTTGGTAAGAAGATAGTTTGATACCCTGGGAAAGACATAGGATACTTTTTATCCCGGAAGTCATCCCTTAATGGGGTGAAAATGGGGATGAAAGTTTGTATTGGGAAGCAAGCTAGATACATAGATAAACTTAAAAGCAAAACCTGAATATAAAATTTGATCCAAATCGTTAGAGCCGTTGCCAAGATACAAGAAATAAAATATATATGTATTAAAACATGAATGGCTCATTTGATATTATAAGATTTTGATTAAAGTTTTCGCGACACAATTAGAATTTACTGAATAAATCAGGTAGTTTACCTATCAAATGTCACATGGGGATTCGTTTTCGTCGTGCTACCACTATGTTCCGCCATGACTTGAGTAGAAGACAGAGGATGTTCACAATCACAATCGGCTGCTGTTATCTTTATAAGGGACCCCTCAGTGTCAGATATCGAGGGGTCTGAGATTAGCAGTGGTGGAGACGGGGTCTGTAAGTATGACGTGATATAAATTAATATTACTTAATAAATCTAGTAATTACTATTAGTATTTATTATAATTAAATTATTTTATCTGACTCAAGTTTTGTAATTGGATTAAAGTTTCGATTAGGGGACTAAAGTTACGATTGCTTATCGTGATAAAACTTCGGTAATCTTGATGGGACATGAAAATTATCAAAATTTGTTGTCCGGGATCGCCAAATATTTACAATAACGGAGGAGCACGATGACAAGGCAAAGAAATCAACGCAACGACCATTAAAAACAAATGACTGTAAGAGTTGGAAACTTTCAAAAAAAAATCATGTTGCATTCAGGCCAAAACTGCTTTAGCGATTTTTTATTACTTATCGTGCCACGATAGTCGTGGTAAATGCTAAAAAATTTTTTTTGTCCAAATCAGGGAAATCTGCTAAACGGAACATTATCTCTTTCTAATTGTAATTCTACTTTGCTCTTTTATGACAGAGTAAAAGACCCACAGGGTCTTCAACTAAGGGGATTTGATTTGTATTGTTTTTCTTTATAATCAACAACATGAATGCTAATGTTCAATACAATTATCTATTTAGTTTCACTTACTCGCTCCATAATAGCTATATCACTATCTGTCACTTGCAGTCTGTGAATCTCTTGGCTAGCATTCGGTGTAGAAGTGACCATACCCGCCTACAAACAAATCAGAATCAGGTAACAAACGTACATAGCAATTTAAAAAAAAATTGATTATATATTAATGTCATTAAACTACTTGATTAAACTTAAAAAACTATAACAGATATTGGTCCAAACACACAATAAAATAAAAGCTAAAAAATTACTTACAACATTTCTTTCAAACAAAGCTTCTTGAATATATTCCACATACGAGTAGTTTATAAACAAATTTTAAATAAAAGGAAAACGTTACCTTGGTTAGGGTTCCGTACCCAACCCCCCCAACGTGCGTTCACCTTGTCGTGGTGGGGGGGCTCAGTAGTAGTAGCGAAGCTAAGAAACGCACAGGGAGGTTGCCCACTTCGGTGGGCGGTGGGAGGTGGCCCTCTTCGGGGGGCGGTGTACCATGCGGGTTGCTCCTGGTACTTCTCTGATAGCAGAGTGGACTGTGGAGCAACCCCATGGTTGTGGTGGTCTGCTTCGGCAGACCTGCCGTCGGGGCGTCGTAGTTGAATGCGTAAGCGATCCTGCGACGCCCCATTAAGACGGGGGAAGGTTTTGTTGGGTTTTAGTGGGTAGTACTGGCTGTATTACGCCGGTGAGTCCCACACGTCGTGCGTAAATGCATTTCCCAACGTTAAAAAAAAAAGGTGCCAACGAAACCCTATTACTAAGCCTCCGCTGTCCGTCTGTCCGTCTGTCAGAGGGCTGTATCTCATGAACCGTAATAGGTAGAGAGTTGATATTTTCATAGAATATGTATTTCTTTGACGCTATAACATCAAATAATAAAAATAAATAAAAATAAAAAATAAAATACAAGAAGCATTTTTTTAACGTTCGTAATCGATCATCAAAGTTAATATATTTAATATGTTGTACAATCCAATGTTGTCCTTGGGTGTAGGGCTCCCTCTGGGCTTGTAATAAAACTCCTGTGATTGGATTGTGTTTAAAAAATTTATACATAACATCTAAACCAAACGATAGCGCGTTTTAGAAGACCCCCAATGACATCTGTTACAAATATATGTACAACCCCAATATATTTACATTTTGAACATAGAATGTACTTAATAAACTTATCATATAGAAACTTATACATATATAGAGTAAGAGTCATATTAATAAAAAGTATATACGGTGGTACGGAACCCTTCGTGTGCGAATTCGACTCACAGTTGACCGATTTTATTTAAAATTAATATTCTATGAATTATAAAAAACTTCAAGGCAATGTTAACTATAAACTATGTATATCGTGGTAACGCCCCTCCCTGTCAGCGAATCATTTTCAACAAGATTACCAATCGCTTTCGGTTATAACAAACATCGCGAGTAAACCATGAAAATAATCTAAAAAGTTTTTAAAATAATACTTTCTTAGATTTAAGCGAATGTTTGACATTATTAAATAAAACTATCTTTTCGGATTATTTCGCGGATTTATTTTGGTTTTTGGTTCCCGACGTTTCGAATGCTTTACAGCATCCATGGTCACGGGAGAGACTGAGGTGTTACATGTCTTTAAGGTATGTAAAACATTCGAAACGTCGGGAACCAAAAATCAAAATAAATCCGCGAAATAATCCGAAAAGATAGTTTTATTTAATAAGTTTTTAAAAGACAAAGTTCATCAATCCGCACTTAGTCAGGTTGACGGACCAACCTGATCCTCCACGCATTGAAGAGACCTGTTCAGCAATAGGACTTTAAAAATGGCTGAACACACTTAAATTAAACATGAATACATAAAACCAAAAACGAAGCGAATTAAAACATCTCATCACTCAAACAACTTTATTAAATAAACACAATCAGCCCTTAGAGGAGACATCAGACTCATACATAGTGCTGCAACAGTCCCAATCCGTGGCCAAGTCCGCGTCGGGTCTCTCCCTGCACTTCCTGCGCTGTTGCGAATTGTGACATTCGCCCTCCCGGTCTTTTTGTACGTTTAATTTGGCCTCTGACAGTTCTTTGAGCTATGGACAACATTGTTTATATGAGGTAACCTTAAATGAGTAAAAATTTATATGTATTTTTAATTTGATGTCGATTTACGAATAACTATGAAATGACAATATGAAACATTTACTGAGATGAATTTTAGGTGTAATGCATAAAAACTTGTACATATAATAATCCAATCGGAATCCGGTTTGGGAACAAAATATTGAAAACCTGAAGTTTTATGATTATAAAATGTTAGCAGGTATTTATGGAATAGAAATTCGTAAAATGCCCCACATGCCCAGCTACCCCCGAGAAATGAGGGGCAAAACGTTGAAAATTAGTTTCACAGGGCGGCAAATTTTTAGGGACGGCGAAATCCGGAGGGCGGGAAAAAAATTCGTCGCGTTATCGAAACTGCTTTTTTTATTTTCCAAAAAATGTAAAATATAAAGAGATTAACAAGTAGGTATATTTTTCGAAAAATGTATATCATTTATAAATTATTTTTTTGCATTATTCAAAAAAATAATAATTAAAAAAATGTAAACTTTCTACATTTATATAATAGGGCGGCATTTTTTACTATGCCCAGGGGCGGCACTAAGGTTGAATCCGGCACCGAATACAATGTTTTAAAACTCCCGATCCCCACCTTCGCCTTGGCCTGCCGCAGCTGGCGCCTCATCTCCAGTATGACCTCGTCCTTGAACCGGGCGCGCAGGCCCGCCACGCGGCACTGCTCGTCCAGCGCCGCCAGCACGCCGCGCGCCGCCACCAGCTCGTGGCGCAGCGACACGTTCTCTTGCCGCAGCGACACCACCGCCACGCTCACGGACGGGGACGACTGCTTGGGAACGGTTTACGGTGTCCATATATACAGACTATTGTTATAAATGTTAAAAGTATTGTGCGTGCGTGCGTGCGTGCGTGTGTGTGTGCGTGCATGTGTGCGTGCGTGCGTGCGTACGCGTGCGCGTGCGCGTTCGCGTGCGTTTGTGTGTGTTTGTGTGTGTGTGTGAGAACGTATGTGTATGTGTGTGTGTGCATGCGGTAGGGACGGTGCGGACCCTCGGGGCTGGAGTTCACGGCGGCAAAATTCGGAGGATAGGAAAAAAAATTACTTCGCCTTATCAAGAATGCTTTTTTTATTTTCCATAAAATGAAAAATGAAAAAGATTAACTAGTAGGTACATTTTTCGAAAAATTGATGTCATTTATAAATATATTTTTTTTGCATTTAAAAAAAAAATTGTAATTAAAAATTTTTAACTTTCAACATTTTATTCAAAATTTCGATAATAGGGCGGCATTTTTAACAGTGCCCAGGGGCGGCGCTAAGGTTAAATCCGGCACTGGAGTGCTACAGGTAATTTTTAATTCGATAGAAATACATTTATTGTCAGAAATCAAAAAAAAGATTTTTAATCGAAGTTAAAATTTCACAAAAGGCACCTAATATTTTCTTAAAACTTACTAAAATGTTTGTACCTTTACCCGCCGATTGCTGTCCTCGTAGCACACAGCATCCTCACATCTCGCCCCAACCTCCTTCACAGGCTCCACGTCACCGCACTGTTATGAAAAACTTACTTATCTAATATACCTAAATGAAGGCTTTAAAAAAAATATTATAGCCTTCTGTTACTGTGTTGGTCTCGATGACGCTGCCTACTGTGACATAGAACACCAGTTCAATTCCTGAATATATATTTTTTAAAACGAGCCGTACATTTTCTTAAAGAAAGTCAAAAGCGAAAAGTAGAGAGCGGAGTCATTCCACTGCTTCACACATATTGTGAAATTATAAAAATATTTTGTTATTTTAAATAAAAGTAAAGAAAGTATAATATTTTGTTATTATAAAGTGCAAAAAAATATGATATAGCAGTTTATTTTATTTGTGTGTGGACCAATCGATTACTTAGTAAACATTTAAAGTATTTACCTGCATTCCAAGACAACATATGTCAGTTAAGACTTCGGCATCCGTTTTTGGAATATCCCTAAAATAAATAATATATTAAACCTATTGCTTTAAACACGTTAAAACCAGTCCTTTATCATAAAGAACAACATGTTTGGTACTAAATTGAAAATGTCATTGAGTCATAATTAAATGATATATATTGTCTAGCATTGTCGTTTTCCTATTAAAAAATTCCTTGTGTTTATTAGGTACAACACTGAATGAAGAAAGGACTATCTAAACTACTGAAGCAAGTTCTAGCCTCCAGTCAGGCACCTCTCACTTATCAATATGGTCACCACTAGCCAATTCGTTCGTATTCGTAAGAAACACATCTTGAAATCTGCATTACCGAGAGAACCCCACTAGTTTTAATCCCAGGATAGACATATTATAAAAGGAATCTAAATCCCGCCCCCGCATGTGGCTAGGATCGTGCGTTAATACAAATCTCTCCCATGGGTAACGTACATTTTTTCGGGACAAAAAGTAACCTATGTTATCTTGACATATGAGCTATATTATTGTAAAGTTTCATTAAAAACCATTCAGTAGATTTTACGTGAAAGAGTAACAAACATCCATACATTTATACATCCATACATCCTCACACACTTTCGCGTTTATAATATTAGTAGGATAGATAAAATTACGCACGGTGCATGATATTTGTTCATAGACAGCTCGTTTCTCAGAGACATTATAGTCTGTTCGTGTTGGTGGACATCCTTGTTGAGTCTTTTTATTTCTCTAAAAATACATACATATGTTAAATCTTAATACTACATAATAATCTTAAAATATATCTATACATATAATAAGACTGTAGAGGTCGAATATTTGTACATAGAAAAAAATGCTTAAAACCGAGTCAGGGGGATGTAAGAAGAGAAATAGTGTTCATCTAGATTTTTTTCAATTTTTTTGTTTCTCTGTTTGTACGGGCTAATCTCCGTAACTGTTGGACCAATTTAAATTAAATATTGCATGGTGGTACATTATATCCCCGGTCTACATTTTAGATACTTTTAATTCCGAAAAATAGAGTTCCCGTGGGGTAGTTAAAAAACTAGTAACTTATACAGTTTAGTACACAAAAACTACTGATTGGATTTTAATGAAACTTTACAATAACATAGTTCATACATTAGAATAACAAATAGATAAACAAAAATTTTATCTCGGAAAAATGTACATAATGAATACTCCGAAACTACTAGACTGATTTAGATGAAATTTGGTAAGATGATAGTTTGAGACCCTGGGAATAACATAGGATAACATTTTTCATAGGATTCTGAAAATCATCCCAAAGAGTTGAAAATTGGAATGAAATTTTGCATGGGGAATCAACCTAGGGACGAACCAGAGCGAAGTGAGGGTGAGTCTAGTATACAAAACTAGTAGTTAAAAACACTTTTTGCTTTTGGCCTTTTTTATATTATGAGAGAAAGAGACTAAGTTCAGAAAATAATTATTACCTTTCTTTGGAAACATTCTCCATCTTAAGCGAATCATTCAGCATTTTCATATCGTTCACTTTATCGCATATCGTTTTGCTTTTGTCCCGCTACAATACCAACATTGAAAAATAATTATTAAATAATTCAACTTCTTTGAAGATGTTAATCCACTTATTTATGTAATAATTATATACAGTATAGACAATATGACATAATGAATATATTATTTTTGTACGTATAATTATTATCAGCTAGCTTACATCACTGACTCTGTCCTGTCTGTTTCAATAAAAGTAAGAATTTGTGAGATCAGACAAAATGTACAGCAAAACTTTTAATTTCTCCCGAATTTCGTAATTTTCTAATACTCACCTTAAAAACCTTATTTGGTCCAGTTGTTCTCAAGTGATGCAGTTACCAACGTACAGCATTTCATTTTTATTATATATAGATAAAAGTTAAGGGTTGAAAAAAAAAGTTTTACAAAAATATAGGATATAATATTACAAAAAAAAAACAAAAGACATAAAATATTTCCAAAAACAATAAACAATATAATAAATAAAACAGAATTGTAAAGCCGTTAGAACTTATAAGGTTTTCTTCCTTTCCCTGCTTCTTGCTTGAATTCACCACTCTTAGTATCGCCTTGATTAAGATTTGAATGTTCCCTAAAACAGTATTAAATTATCCAATAAGTCAAATAGGGTATTAGGATTTTGTTCAAGTATATTTGCATATAATAAGCAGTGTCACAATCAAAAACATTTAATGTTTCTGATTATGATACTGCAGACCTGAAATCAATCTTTAAAGATGGACGGAAAACATTGAACAACCAAATTCAAAAAAAGATTTCAAGAAATAAATTTTTAGGGTGAAGCGAAAAGAAGTTTTTTCTTAGCTTGGAGGTAGAATTTGTAGCTTATAAAAAAAATAACATTTTTGAAAAAAAAAAATTCACTCTGGCTGAGTAGAAAATGAATATATTCGTCAATTTTTAAACGTTTTCAAAGATGGTCAGTCGAAAAAAAATTTACCATTCAAACCAAAAATTTAAATTAATTATTTTAAAAATCAGTGGGTCACCTCAAAATGTTGAGTGAATTTTTATTTTTCAAAATTTTTATTCTTGTATAAGCTACAAATTCTACCCCCAAAAGTTAAGAAAAAATAGTTTTTTTTTCGCTCCACCCTAGTAAATATTTGAAATAACATAAATAATAATTATCAAAGAAACTAAACGTACCACAGTACGGGACCAAATATATCTGATTGTGTTACTTCATTGAAGTGTATGCCGTCTATAGTGCAGTAGTCGAACTGCCGCAGTCGACGCAACACTTCCAGCAGACCGCGCAGATCCGAATCCTTTCTAGCGAGTTGCCTTCTGAGAGTGCCCACTTCTGACCGCAGTTCACATTCAATCTGTCCAAAATAAGTTGAGGAAAAACAACTTTTTCAATCCATTGTACTTAACATTTTATATGATCTTGTTATAAATAGTTAGACGCTTATTTTCTGCTAATAAATTCCGTAATAGTATTACTTGGTCATCATTATTTTTAACTTTAATTTTTTTCCATGCATTACATCACCTTATATGTGAGCCATCTACTTCATCTATGAGTTCTCCTCTTCATGCCGTTTCACATAACTATGGGAACTTTTTATAATAATAACTCCAAGAGCAAGATACAACGACCCGAAAATACTTTCAAAAATCAAAATATGTATAATACACTGTACGAGTATATTTTGAAAATAATAACAAAAATTACAACATATTGTATGAAACATACTAAAAATTAATTCAAGAGAACTATCTAATATCTATACCTCAGCATGTTTTCTTCTTTCAAGAAGTAATCGGGTGGTAATTTCCGTCTCCAACTCCTCGACCGTTTGCGCCAACAATGTGTTCTGTCCCATCAGGTCGCTCACCCACGACTGCAGTACCTCTACCTGCATCTGGGGATACCGGTTGATATTAAAATTGTTTATGAGTTTGCGTACAATTTTAATAGTCCGTATTAGGTTATAATATAAATATATTTATCTCGAGTGCTTCGATCAACAATACTACTAGGTAACGTGTCACATACAAAATCAAAGCCAAATTTTGTCCGCGCGAATATGTACTTATACAGCTTCATTTGTATACTACCGAACCAAGACAAAGTCTTATAATAGTTTTATTTTCAAGCTAATCAACACCATAGCACCTTGTAATAAAGTCACAAAACCGATTCGTGTTAACCTTTTAATAACCTATATAATACATAAATCATAATTTCTTTATGTAGAAATATGACATATGTATGTATGTATGTATGTATATGTATCATTAAGCTTAACCTCATAATATTTTACTACTAGTTAGGAAACAAATATGTACTCTTAACCATACGTCTTTCAAAAAAACTGAAAAAATGATCACTCTTAGATTCAAATCCAAAATCAGTAATATTTATTCAGCGTTAGTTATTACATTATTTACTAAACATCATGAAATTCCATTTCGTAAAGACGAAAGAAATTTAGCGGATCAAAATATTTTTACCCATTATTAAAATAAAATTATAATTCTCTGTATATTCTCATAGCTTTGAAATAGCCATGCAACAATTCACATTATTCCAAAGACGTATCTTCTATTAAATGATCTCTGTAAAACCACAAAAAAATTTTCTTTAATTTTAATTTATCAATAGAATTTGAACGTGGCACTTACTTGTAACTTTTTCGAACCTCCAACCCTGTTAATGACCTCCATCCTCTCCTCGTAGGCTTTCTGGACTTCCTTCAACACCCCGAGCGTGGGCCCTCCCTCGCACCCGCACGGGTCGCGGTCCCTCTCCGCGCCGCACTCTATTACGTTGCTATCCATTATAGAAAGTTATATAAAAAACACTTTTGCTTCAAATATGTAAATCTAGACATTTTTGCTGTTTAAATACTATCAGTAAATGACGTCTGACAATTAACGCAAAAAGAACTATTATAAAAAATAAACATATCAAACCTCTATTTTCTGCGTATTGTTCCTTGAACTATATCAAAGAAAATTCTATTTTACATTAATTAAATACACAATGTACATTTTGTATTACACATAAATTCTTTATATTTGCATACCCATAAAGGCCAGTAGCTCGCATGTACGACTGCTGATCGAGAGATCGTGAGTTCGAGTCCTGGATCATGGAAATAGTTACAGGGGTTTATCAAGAAACCTCTGTAACAGCACGGAGTGCAGATGTCGGCGATCCACGGTGTGTACACCCTCGTACCACGTTCTCTACGCGAGTGTCGAGATGTCATTCCACGGAACTATTAAAGGAATGAGGAATGCACTTGGTGTTATGTTATCTATGCACATACTTGATACTAACGCAGTTGAATAGACACAGTGAGATTCGCCGTCGAGGTCGAAATCATTCAGGAAGACATTATAAGTCAACTGAGTTAAAAGACCTAAAGGATGAAGAACCATAAATAAAACAAAGTAAATCAACACCAAAATAATATTTATTCGATTATAAATTTGGCTAAATTTGTACCTACATATTTATACAAGGGCGTGTTTGACACTTAAAAGTACTTATATCTAGATATCAATCGAGGCTTCAACGACAATAAACAAGAAACTGTTATTGATAACATATTTCTTAGCAGACCTACTTGTGTTCATATTTAAGTAATTTCAATTTCGCTTAAAAAATATCGTGAATCTAATGGTGGTCACGCACGTTAGTACAAGCCTGGACAGTTAAACTGCACAAGTAAGCTCAAACGATTAATAATAATTAAAAAAACCGTAGCCTGCTACAAATGAATATTTCAGTTTGTCTATGCCTATTGATCATTCTAACGTCTATGGCCACTTTTACACTAGAAAGCTTCTGCTTTTACATAAGCTCTATACTTGCTGCTTGAATTATTACAAGAGTATCAACTATCTAACAACTTAATGAATTAAATCGAATTTTGCTCCGTTTACATTAAACAGGATTAAGTCTTGAATTAGAAAACAAAATGTTTATGATGCTTTGTTTATATTTTACAAGAGATTAAGATAGTCTACAGAAAACTATTTAGATCTTTAGTACATTATTTTTCAAATCTATGTTTATGTTTTATATAAACAAAATATCCATTAAATATACTAAATGAGGCAAAAAACTCAATTATATGTCAATGTTATAATTTGATTTAAAAGTATCAAGGCGACCGAGCTCAGCTCTACGTTTTTCCGGGAAAGATATAAAAATTGCTTTTTTCGGAAAATACACAAAGACAGAAAAAGCACCAACCTTATCTAGTAAACACAAAATTTAATCCAAATCATTAGAAACATTTCAGAGATACACATCAGATCTGATCAGAAATGAATTTATATATATATAGAAGAATTGCTCATCTAATATTACAAGATAGATTCATAATAACTCTATATACAGTAAAGTCAGGTAATACGAGTAAGGTCTATATACAATACTGAGTATTGTATACAGACCTAACTCGTATTGAAAGTAAAAGATTTAAATGCATTAGCACCCGTGTAAAAGCTCTGTTTCTGAAGCAAGGAATAGTCTTAACAGCATCGATCAAAAAAGTACTACACAATGCACAGTGATACACAATCAGCGACCAAAAATGTCGTCACCGAATGAGCGCTTATTTGAACATTTTATTGTTTTTATGTAAACAACTTTAAGCATTGCAATTAAGCTTCGATTTATATTTTTTTATATTTATTATACTAATTACCTAAACACAATTGGTGACAGTTTTAAGAGAACTTTTGCATGGGATTGTGTATCTACTTTTTTTTATGACGGAAGCAAGGAATAGTCTTAGCAGACATCGATATTGACGAAATTGAATCCACTACTTTTATAGAATAAATCGCTCGATCGATACGCTATGAATCGCATAGTTCGATACAGTTTGAATCCGAACAAACTGATAATCGATTGGTTATTAAAATAATCGATTTCCGTTTTTTCCGCACTATGAAAACTTTCTTTCCTTGGGATATCGCTATGCAAATTATTAAACATAAAAATGACTTTCAAAGAAATACTTAACTTTGAAATAGAAGCATGAAAAAATATTCATATGGTGTTAAATTTGGATGGGTGATTGTTTGGAAAAACAACTGAATCTATCAGTTCTTCGGAGTGCAGATTAATTCATAGTAAATTATCGACCGCCTAACAGACTCTGACTACAAAATTCAATTCAATTCAATTTTCTTATTAATGGCTTCAAATCGTGCCATTTGAGCACAGATTAGTTTTACATTCAAAAGTCATCAGGAGAAAGACATTTTTAATTTTTATTACAAAAACACCTAATAAATTATGAAAGACGTTAAATGCACTTGGTGCTTTAATCTCAAAAGCATGATATGTCAGCTACAACTTACAGTATACGCATTAAATATAATGAAAAATGTCGAAAACGCTTGGTCAAAACCTGAATTTTATGAACACAAAGCGAGAAGAATCAAGATCTTTATTCTAAATTAAAAAAAAATAACAACCTTTTACGTGTAATCTATCACTTTTAGTAAGACTTTGTCAATACCATAGATTACACTAAACTTCACAATTCGTCTATTTAAGTATACATTATTATATATTATATACATTTCACTACGATACAACTATATACTAGTATGAATACTAAAAAGTTCCATATTGTGAATCCACTAAAACAATAATTAAATTGTAAATACCTACATGTTTTATACCTTTATCAAGTCAATCATGGATAAACGTTGATACATTTCTTTTTAACGCCTATCGAATTTATTGGAACTTGTGAGATATCACAAAGGTCTTCGCAATGATAACAAGATAACTATATAGACAGAGTCCGCCAGAATAAATTTCGAAGTCAAAAATAGTAGCGTAATATGCTGTTTAAGCATCGATCAAAAAAGTACTAGATACACAATCAGCGATAAAAAAATGTCCTCGCCGAACGAGCGCTCATTTGAACATTTGAGCTTTTAATAATTTTTTTGCGATAACAACTTTAAGCACTGCACTTAAGGTTCAATTTACACTGTTGTATATTTATTTCAACTAGAATAATTACCTAAACACAATTGGTGACAGTTTTAAGAGAACTTTTGCATGGGATTGTGAATCTAGTACTTTTTGATCGATGTGTTTCTACTACTACTGTTCTCGATTATGCCATACAGATAGTTTACTTTCTTTAAAAAAAAGAGAAATTTTACTTATATATTAGTTAAAGTTAATATACAATTTTTGAAAATATAATATGAATAATAAAAATAATACTATATTATTTTGTATTTTTTAAGCAATAGCTCTCTTCCTCATAAAAGAGAGTTAGCATAATATGAGCTTATTTGATTTTTTATTATAAAAAATCCGTTAGCTATTTTTATTTATTAACATTTATTTTATCATTCAGTATACAAATTTTTATTAGTAAACTATTTTAAAACACATTGTTTGGCTTCATGTTTAGTTCTATGACACTCTATCTTTATTATTCCTTAGTCTTTCAAATATACAGAATGATTGAGTTAAATTGATAAGCTGTGAATATCGAGTATAAGTGGTTTTATAATCACATAGCTTAAGCTATCACACTACTTTGTAGCTTTATCTACATTTAATACACGAAATAAACTTAAATATATAGGCGATATTGAGATTTCAACGTAATATATAACGTATTACAAAAACATTTTGTATAGGCTATTATACGATAAGCTACTAATGTATAAAAACAAGTATACTACACTGCACTTACAACAAAACTTCTACTAAATACGTCGACGCATGACTTTTGTACAGCTGAAACAAAATAAATATAATAATTATTGGACAATACAATCTACATCTTAATATATAAAATTTCCGTGTAACGATGTTAGTCTGGAATGAACTCCGAAAATATTTAACCGATGTTAACGTAATTTTTTCAAAATGTGCACTTTTTTCCAACTTAAAAGATAGCATAGTTTTTATCCCGATTATTTCCTTTTTTTATTGCAAAATTAACGATTTTCATTTGTGTGCCACAGCAACGAGAGGCCAGGTCTGCTGTGTAAATGAAAATGAACGTTCGTATGTTTGTCCTCTATGCGTCCCTCAATCATTGATCCGATTGTGATGAAACTCTGGTGAGTTATTCTGCATACGCCTGCGAAGGTTCCTGGCGCAAAAAAAAGAATTTTTCTTTGGATGTTTGTCTTTTATGCGTTCATAAACCATTAGGATTTAGAATATAAATAGTATATGCCTATATATCTACATTTATCTATAATATTAAAGTGTTGTGTGTTTATAATTTATTACTACTCTTACCTGGTCACCTACCTGGCTTTGAATTTAACAATTCATACATTATCCTTGTTTTCAACCGACTTCAAAAAGGAGGAGGTTCTCAATTCGACTGTATTTTTTTTTGTTTTTTTTTTTATGAATCGAGTAGTTGTTGAAATTAATCGAGTAGCTACACCATCAACCATTAGCCTTGAAACCTTAATTAATTTTGAATTAATTGTAAAATTCGTTTCAGTGGCTCTGAAGTAAACAAATACTTAGTAAATGATTTGGCAAATAAACGATGACATATGTTCCAATTGCCTTACAAAATGGGGGAATCGCGTTTCAAAAGCTCACAAAAAGAATGTTAATTGATTGATACACACTATCAATGACTCAATACTTCCTTGAAAAAGGCACATTCAAGTCATCAAGTCGGACTTTACTCATCTCTTCCCTCTCACGAACTAAAAATACATAATTTATAGTTATATATATTACGAGCGGCTTACCGTACGTTCCTAGGGATTGGTTAAGCATGCACTCAGTAGAAACATACATAGAAACTTCATTTTATTATTATATACCTTATTTACACAGCGGCACGCTGGAGGCGCTCAGTAGAAGCCCTTGAGTTGCTCGTAGGTGATGAAGAAGATGATGTTCCAGGGCCCCATGCGCAGCCACGTGGGCACGAACCCCTTGTACAGCGCCAGCAAGCCCTCGTTGCGCACCGTCTGCCGCACGCACAAACACACATCCCATACAATATTTGTAATATAAGCCCAACGACATGCATAACGTTTATGTATACATATAATAAAATTGTTACTAAGCCGGATCTGTACATTAAATATTTTTGGAAAATATTATTGAAATAGACCTTATTATCGATACCGATGCCGAATCTATAGTTTTTGAATTTTTGTCTGTCTCTCTATCTATCTGTCTGTCTATCTGTGATCACATCACGTAAAAACCACTGGAGGGATTTTGATGAAATTTGGTATAATGAAAGCTTTTATCCGGGTGACAACTAGAATACCCTTTACTGCGGGAATATACCTCATCTCTGAAAAAACTATACTAAACATTAAATTTATAATAACTAAATACAGTGAAATAAATATATAAATAGTTATCCAAACACAAAGTATTATATTATGTTTTAACTGAGATGCATTGAAGTCAGCACTAGCTCGTTACATGTTATAAGCTTACAGCACAAGACAACCGATCGGCTGTTAGCTACACGCGCAATGTTGCTCACTCGAAACTTTTTTCACAGGCAAGTAATTAATTGATGAAAATAACCACTTTATTCATTTAAAAAATATTTCGAATATTTATCAACTTGGCGGGGACACTGCCGTGCCCCCAGATTCAAATATATTTATTTCAGTATTATTTTTTTCATTATCCAATTTCTAATTCTAAGATACATATCAGAAATTGCATGAAAAGAAAAAAAAATGTGATTTTAAGGTTCGTATAGACAGTGATAGCCCAGTGACAACGCACTTGCTTAGGAAAGCGAGTGAAGTGGGTTCAAATCCAAAGTGGTAATCATTTCCAACATGATTACTAATTGTATTACGCTGAAGAATAACATCGTGAGGAAACCTACATGTCTATGAGAATATAGTAAGTTTTCCAAAGAAATGAGCTATGACCTGATCCCTTTCCTATGGAAGGGAGACCCGCGCCCAGCAGTGGGATGTTAAAAAGGGCTCCATACAGCATTCGTATAAAAAATTATCCATTTAAATTATAAATGAACACAAGCTCACCTGAACAAAACAGTCTATGGTCCCTTTATATATCCTCTCACTACTTTTCGCTATGTGATCCTTAATTTTTCTTTGGTTCATTAATCGCGTCTGAAAAAGAAATAAATTACAATAGATCATATATCATCAACATACAACAATACATTATTCATTGAGGCATGATCATTAAAAATATTTTTTTAATGCATATGTGTGTTTCGAGCTATTGTTAGACTAGGCTTAGACGGAGTAGTAAAATTGTACATAATAAAATAATATACATAATTAGAAATCATGAATAATAATAATATTTTCATTAAAAGTCATTAATAAATTAACAGGAAATATTTGACTACTCCAAATTAATATGGAATATCAATTGGTTATACTTTTAAAGAAATATTAAAATATAATAATTTAACAGTCAATATCTTAAAATTAAACATATTTTTCGAGTTACTAATTTTGTAATTATATGCTTATAAATAAATGCTTGAAAATAAATCAAATAGTAAGAAGTTCATAATTATATTATTACATTTAAAAATTCTGAAATACTATTGTTTAATTTAATAAAATTAAATTATAAATACTTAACTGATTTTTCGGATGATTTTATAAAAATAATTAAAATTTCACTTCCGGCTGATTGATATAAAAAGCGTAAGGTAACCGTTGGAAGAGTTAGTTTTTGGACAGACGTGCATCACGCCAGAAAAGATAAGTAATCGTTGTTAAAATAATATTGAATTTATGCTGGTAAACTTATTGATCAAAATAGTGGTAAACTTATGTGTAAAAAGTAAAAAGATAAAGTTTTCCTGTGATTGGTTAAATAGTAGTGATATAAAGTGATCGTTAAAACTACATTTAATTGTGATCTTATATGGAAATACGAAAATTGAAGTGACATTGTAAAACTTATAAAGTAAAAAGTGATAATATAAAGCTTATTGCATTGGTTTACTGTGTTCTTATTTTCCTCGTCCTGAAATTATATGTTGATATATACACTGTTTTATCAATTTTCAGAAGTGGGATCCCGGAACGTCACCAGTATCCCGTCTCGGAATCCGCTAGAAAAACGATGTCTGGCACTCCCAGCACTCGGAAGTACCCATCCTGGCCAGGCCTATAGCTGGTTCTTTGACTACCGCAGAGGCCGTATCAACGCTTGCATCGTCTATGACCTAAATGCTGGTAAGATCCAACCATATTACTTTGACCAAGTGGTATTAAGACCAGGAATCATACTTACTGCCATAATAGATAACTAGTCTGGTGAACGCTACTAAAAGCTACCAACATGCAATCTCGATTAGGCGGAATGGTATTTTTCCTCCTTCTTAAACTTTTTATACAAATTTCAAATGATTTAGTTATACGTTTTTGAGCTAGTCTCCTAAGTGCCCCAAAACTTTTTCATACTTCTCTTTCCCTCTTATTTTGCATCCAGTCTGGTGCAAATATTCGATTAAAGATATCTCTCTATCTTTTGCTTATTTATTTATGTAAAATTGGAAAACAAACAGCGTATACAAACATCAAATGCAACAAAAAAATACAACAAAATTAATACACCTGGCCAATAAAGTTTCCACTTTTACATAAATATAGTTGAGTAGACCAAAACCTGTTAAACCAAAACGGAGATAAATAAAATGTGTAGTTACAAAATAAAAAGAAAAATATAGAAATAGTCTTTTGCTAGTGTCTTTTCAAGTTCGGTTATAAATTTGTTTATATTCAGTATATGCAAACGAAATATTTGTTGTTTGTAATCCATACTAATATTATAAATGTGAAAGTGTGTTTGTTTCTTTGTCCTTCTTTCAAGTCGAAACGGAATGACGAATTGGTGTAATTTTTCTATGGAGACAGTGAGCTGGAGAGTAACATACGCTCTTTTGCCGCGAGAGATTGTCTCATTCCTAAGGAAAAACACGTTATAATACAACACAAGAAATAATTGTGATCGGAATTACTTGAAACTTGGTATTAATGCTCTTCAATACAATTAAAAAAAAAACGTATTTTAGCATTTTTCAAAATTTATCCCATATGGGGGTAAAATTTGGCATGAAGATTTGTATGAAATCTGCCTTTTTGGAGATTTTTGTAGTTTTACCACGAGCGAAGCAGAGGGTTCTGCTAGTAATTAATATAAATTTTACAGACTCTAGTTTTGGCATATTTGGTCTAAGAAAGGGAACAGATAAGACATATCTTTGGATCGTTTATTAATTCGAAGGCATTTAAAGAAAATATTAGACAACAGATAACAATTGATATGATTGTTGATAATTATGCAAAGAAAAATTTGATCTTGATGTTTAGGTTATTACCCTCAATAGATTCAAAGTTGAAATATAACCTCCTAAGAAATTTATTCTGAACGTTCTCGACAGTGTTAATGAATTATTGCTGCAGGTTCTATCTGATTATGTAAAGCAATGCATGCTACGCTCCATTTCGCGTTGACAGACAGTGATTTTCGTCTCAAGGCGCGGTAGCATTGTTGTATCGTATACCTTTGTCTTAATTCGTACGTTAATGCTCTTTTTGTATTTTCGAATGATACTAGTTGTCCTAGATATACGCATTCATATACCTAATTTTTGTACGTTTTATCTTGCAGCGCTCTTTAAAAAAAATGAGCTTTACATGTATTGAATAATAATTCTACTTTTGACGCTCTATTTCTAGTTAGTTACTATAATTTCGAGTTATATCTGCAAATACCACAATATCGTCTGTAAACCGTAGGTGATTCAATAGTCCGTCGCCTACTTTTATTCCCTTCATTTCGCAATTCAGGCATTATAAACAGATTCTAGCATAGTTGAAAAGTTTTTGGGAGAAAGGAGGTTTCCTTGTCTCACTCCTTTTGAATGGTGAAATCCGTTCCATCACGATCTAATCGTACCTTTCGCATGGCATATTATTATATATTTCGGATGTACGCCTTGTTGTAATAATTCTGTATTTTCAAAATATAGTGAACCAAATGTTAAAAAAAAGTATATAAAAAAAAACAAAAATAAACGTGTATATTTCAAGATACAACTTTTCTGTAGGTATTCGTTTACTTTTCTATTATTTGTGTTACAACTTATATATGATCTATAGTCGAGAACCTTTTACAAAAGCTCGCTTATTCACGAGGGTGGTTTCGATTTAATATAATTTTCATCCTGTTCAACATGATTTTTGAGAAAATTTTGTAAATCGAAGCAGCATGATTTTTCATTATTTTATTATGACCACGGTATACCGTGAGCGTTATACGGGAAGTGTTGGTACAAATAAAGATAAGTCGTTGAAATCAAAATCGTCACTCTGTACATAATCACTTAGCACTTCACTTCACTATAACTACATATAGATTTTTGAAAGTTTTTGTCTTGTTATTTTTCTGTTGAGTAACATTATGATTAATGTTTTTACTTATTTCTGTTTCTTTAGACTTTATTTCTTTCGTTCCTTTTCTCTTTACATATATAGCTAGCTCTTTTCTTTGCTCTAAAAGTTCTTTTGTTATTATTACATTTCTATTTTTGGCTGATTTGAATGATTAAGATGAATTTGAATTGGCTCAAGAAATCTTTTTAATTCTGTCTCTTAAATTATTATATTGATTGTGTATCTCTGTAGATGTACGTATTGTTTTGGAAGTTTATTTTTCCAGTATTTAAAGCTCTCTTTTAAAATAGTTTTCATATCTGTAATGTAATTAACAAGTTTTCTCTTCTAGTTGGCCTTATGTCTAAGGATAGATTGCATCGCATATTAAACTTCAGATAATTATTATATCAAAAATTTTGTACAAGTTGGTTGGTTTATTAATGGGAAATCTCCATGTCCATTTCTTGTGTCGCTTGCGTTGGAACTTGCTATTTATTTATTTCTTGGTAATCCTACAGCGTTACAAAATTGTTGAAATACAGTTAGAGCACAAAGTTATTAATAAATATGGCCAAAATTAGATTACTCTATTAGATATCTCGTAATAGTATATGTATTAGACAACAGAGTACTCATATATTGAAAAAGGAAAAAGAAAAAAAAATCTGAATAAATTAAATTGGTCCTACTAATCATATGCACATCAAACATAATGTGTTTACATGTATGTGCGGTTGTGTACGTGTGTAGGTATGTATATGTGTGAGTATATGTGTGTACCTGTGTTATATATAACGGTACGAGTCTATGGTATTTACGGATGTAATATTTGTTTTCAGGTGCAAATTTGACTAGTCTCTTATTGTATTGTCTTATGTTTTTATTTTGGCGGGATATTGCGCATATCAATTGATGATTAAATCTAAATGTGGTTTGTTACAAGGAAGGGGAGTAAACACAGTTTTCCAACTCAGTATAAAATTGGTAACATAGTACTTTGTCAGAAGTCTGTAGTCAGCTCATGTGATGTAAGAAGAGAGCTTAAAGATAAGTTTAGTGGACCCTATAAAATGTCGAGAAAATGATAGATACCCAGTTACGTCGTTTAAAGGGCTCAAGGCATATAAAAAGTACAATGCGTCGGTTTCAACGGCGACACTTTCGGCTTAGCTTGTGGTGACCCTACTTGCTGTACCGGCGGTCGCGGGTTCGAGTCCCGCTGGGGGGCATTCATTTGTGTGGGGGGCGCGAATGTCTGTGCTCCAGTCATGGATGTTTATATTTATAATGTTTATGTATTTTCAGTTATCTATGTGTGGTGTATCAACCGTTTGGTATCCATAGCACGGGCCTTGCAGCTTACCATGGAACTAGATGGTGATGTGAGTTAGACGGATGTTCTACGGAAATTTATCAATGAAGCAGATAGTGACACAGGTTCAAGTAATTCAAGCGTTAATAGCATCGAGGAACTTGGTGACCCATTAGAGTGATAATGGAGCTATATACATAATATATTTATATAATGAACAAGTAGTATATAGAAATTCATGGGCCACCCAACAGTTTGGTATTGATGCGGCCACCAATAGTTTTGGTGTTGATGGGCCACCAAGAGTTTTGGTGTTGTTGGGCCACCAAGAGTTTTGGTGTTGTTGGGCCACCAAGAGTTTTGGTGTTGTTGGGCCACCAATAATTTTGGTGTTGTTGGGCCACCAATAGTTTTGGTTAGGGATGTAACGATACCGATATATCGGCCGATATAATCGGCAGGCCGATATATCGGCAACGGCGATACAACACGGCCGATATCAACCAGTTCTAAAAGTTGTTTTCTTAACAAAAATCTACCAAAAGTAAACTTTAATTACTGACTTTATGTATCTTTTTTTTTAATAACTATGTGATTGATTTTGTTTGAAACTAATAAATGTTTTTTTTTCATTCTCATTACTGAATTTTTATTAAGTATTTTTCCTTCACAGTCTTTAGGACCTAAATACATACATATGGTGTTTCATATATATGAAATAACTTTGAAGAGAGATAGTTGTATGTCTGTCTAATATGTGGTGTCAATATCTTAATAACTTCCTTCAAATTTGTTTAACATACACGAAGCACTTATCTACTAAGCCATCAATATCGGTATCGTATCGAAAAAAAACATGTATCGTTACATCCCTAGTTTTGGTGTTGTTGGGCCACCAATAGTTTTGGTGTTGTTGGGCCACCAATAGTTTTGGTGTTGTTGGGCCACCAATAGTTTGGTGTTGTTGGGCCACCAATAGTTTTGGTGATGTTGGGCCACCAATAGCTTTGGTGTTGATGGACGACTAATAGTGTTGGGTGCTGATGGGCCACCAATAGTTTTGGTGTTGTTGGGCCACCAATAGTTTTGGTGTTGTTGGGCCACCAATAGTTTTGGTGTTGTTGGGCCACCAATAGTTTTGGTGTTGTTGGGCCACCAATAGTTTTGGTGTTGTTGGGCCACCAATAGTTTTGGTGTTGTTGGGCCACCAATAGTTTTGGTGTTGTTGGGCCACCAATAGTTTTGGTGTTGTTGGGCCACCAATAGTTTTTGGTGTTGTTGGGCCACCAATAGTTTTGGTGTTGTTGGGCCACCAATAGTTTTGGTGTTGTTGGGCCACCAATAGTTTTGGTGTTGTTGGGCCACCAATAGTTTTGGTGTTGTTGGGCCACCAATAGTTTTGGTGTTGTTGGGCCACCAATAGTTTTAGGTGTTGATGGGCCACTAATAGTTTTGTTGTTGATGGTCCATTAATAGCTTAGATGATGAAGTTGCTACTAATATTTCTGATATTGTTGAGTCACGGATCTTTTATTTGTTACTTTTATTGGTTACTTTGAGTATTAGTAATAATAATAATGAAATAATATTAGTCCCGCTGAGTTTCTTTCGCCAGTTCTTCTCAGGTCTGAGGCTTCTTCCTTCCGAACTGGTAGTAGACTCATGAAGTTCAGAAAAAATAATAATAATAATAATTTAATGCCAAAAAAATATATTTTTGAATCAAAAAAAAATATTATTTTGGAATACCAGTATTAATTTTAGATCTGATAATAAAGAAAATTTGAAATTATTAAACCTTTTGCTCATTTGCGAGGTCGCAAATATTCGTCAGGATGGACGAACTGTTAGACTAGGCTTAGACGGAGTAGTAAAATTGTACATAATAAAATAATATACATAATTAGAAATCATGAATAATAATAATATTTTCATTAAAAGTCATTAATAAATTAACAGGAAATATTTGACTACTCCAAATTAATATGGAATATCAATTGGTTATACTTTTAAAGAAATATTAAAATATAATAATTTAACAGTCAATATCTTAAAATTAAACATATTTTTCGAGTTACTAATTTTGTAATTATATGCTTATAAATAAATGCTTGAAAATAAATCAAATAGTAAGAAGTTCATAATTATATTATTACATTTAAAAATTCTGAAATACTATTGTTTAATTTAATAAAATTAAATTATAAATACTTAACTGATTTTTCGGATGATTTTATAAAAATAATTAAAATTTCACTTCCGGCTGATTGATATAAAAAGCGTAAGGTAACCGTTGGAAGAGTTAGTTTTTGGACAGACGTGCATCACGCCAGAAAAGATAAGTAATCGTTGTTAAAATAATATTGAATTTATGCTGGTAAACTTATTGATCAAAATAGTGGTAAACTTATGTGTAAAAAGTAAAAAGATAAAGTTTTCCTGTGATTGGTTAAATAGTAGTGATATAAAGTGATCGTTAAAACTACATTTAATTGTGATCTTATATGGAAATACGAAAATTGAAGTGACATTGTAAAACTTATAAAGTAAAAAGTGATAATATAAAGCTTATTGCATTGGTTTACTGTGTTCTTATTTTCCTCGTCCTGAAATTATATGTTGATATATACACTGTTTTATCACTATATAAATGGAAAGAAATGCGAAAGAAGTATGAAGAAGAAGAAGAACTTTGTATGCGTGTGTCTGTGTATGTATATATGTGAGTTTCTTCTTCTCTCTGAAACGGCTGCACCAATTTATATGAAATTTAGTACACAGATAGACTATGACCTAGAAGAGTAAGTACCACAGAATATTTGGTACCTAGAGTAGTTTAAAATAAACTAACGGAGGAAAATATTAAGAGCAACACTAACTTACCCTTATAACGTCTAAGGGGGTGCTAGCGACCGCACTGCCCAAGCTCGCCAGCAAGCTGGACAGGAAGTGGTTGAGCGGGACATCCCCGAGAGGCACCATGAGCCTCCGCTTGCACGAGTCGTACACCGGCAGCTCCACGGCCGCGATGAGGGCGGCGCGCTGCGACGTGGGCCCCACCCCCCGCCACAACCCCCTTATACCTTCTAACCTATAGATGTCTATGAAACATCGCACTAAGTTTCGTTTTTCATCTCCCACCTGTTAGGGAAAACAGACAAACAATTATTGTATTTTGTTAGCGAATGTCTAAAATACTTATAAAACTATTGTTGGTACATAAACTTATTTTGAATTAAATAGCGTTTATAGACGACAGTGCCACTACTGTAAACAATAGGGTTGCCTGAAGAAGGAGGGGAGGAGGGGAGGAGGGGAGGAGAGCTCCTTGTTGAGGGCTGGGCAAAGCAAAAAGACTTTTTCCATGTACATGTTACAGGATTTTTCAAAAATATATGGGAAATCGACTTTATTTTAACCATTCTCTTTGTATTGATTAGGTTAACTCATTTTAACATTAAATTTCCACTAAGAGTAGAATGTTTTTTGTTAAATAATGACGGGTTAATACATAAATAATAATTTACAGAGAATATATAATATAGAAACCATTTTTTTTCATGTTCATATAGTTACTTATTTTAATCTTCGCTTTCCTCAATTCCAAGGAAACGAAACGTACGCCGCCAAAATTTTCTTATATGATCGCTTTATTTTTATACAAGTCATTTTAAGATTCTGAGTGAACATAACAGCATCACTCTCATCAACTATTTATTTATAAAATAAATAAAAAAATGGACTAAAAATAACATAGCGTTCGATACAATCTGTTCAAATATCGTGTCCTACTACATCTATTAATAAGCACTCATAATTTTTTAAATGTTGTTTTTGGCATCACTTGTCGACTAACATCTTAATAGTATGCATGCCTCATTATTGTTTGCATAGAAATCCTCACTAATATTAAAAATATGAATGTATGTTCGTGTTATATTAGAAAACATTACTTAAATATTATTATTAAAAAAAATAAAAAATAAAACAAAAACACTAAAAAGTATAAAATATCTGATTAGGTATCTATAGTAAATGAAAACTACCAATCAGTTACTTTTTTATTTTTTATTAAAACACTAAAGTAAAAAAACTTTTTTGAAGGTGGTTTTTTTTTTTGAAATTTTTAATTTTCCATTTTTAGTGTAGACATAATAGAAGCAAGCCTAACAAGGTAAGAAAAAAATATTTTAAAAATTAAGTAGGTGAAAAATCAATCATCATTGGGCATTTAAATTTGACTTTGAAGTATATCTCAAAGTTGGTATGTAAAAAAAAGACCATCGAAATTGGCCTACATTATAAAAAGTTACGCGTGGCCAGACATAAAAAAAATATATATATATCTGACGAATTGATAACCTACTCCTTTTTTTTCGGCGGTTAATAAATATAATACACTAAGAATATTCAAAAATAAATTCAGCACCTTGTTACATACATACATATCGATTTTTAGTTATTTAATAGCCATTACCCAGACAGAGGCTATTTCTAATAAACACATGATAAGGAGACTCTCAACGTTGTCCTCGTAGTCGCGTAATTATACCAGACTTGTAATCATTAAGATAAATGTAACAAATATGCATAAGAATATAAAATGCTCCATTACGACGTTGTAATATCTAGTATTCATTATTTCTTAACACAATATAATCCATACTAATATTATAAATGTAAAAGTGTTTGTTTGTTTGTTTGTTATTCACGTCGAAACGGCTTGGCGGATTGGCGTGATTTTCTGTGTGGTGATAGTTGGGAGGGCTGGAGAGTGACATAGGCTACTTTTTACCGCGGGAGATTATCTCTTTCCCACGGGAAAACACGTTATAATACAATCCAATAAAATATTTATGATCAGAATCACTAGAAACTTGGTATTAATGCTCTTCATACAGTTAATTAAATACGTGTTTTAGCATTTTTCTAAATTCATCCCATATGGGGGCAAAATAGCGGTTGAAATTTGTATGAAACCCACCATTTTAGAGTTTTTTTTTTTTGTAATTTTAGCGCGAGCGAAGCCGCGGGTTCTGCTAGTTTAATATAATTTGGACAAGACATTTAATATAAATGAATTAAATTCCTAATAAATAGACACAAAAAATGCTACTATTAATATATGTGTATGTGTACAAAAAAATAAATAATATTAACAATACCAAATATAAAAACAATATAACGTTTCTTAGACTCTCCAAATTCTAAGAACTAATAAATGTAATTGGGGAAAGCATTGGTACTTTTTCAGATATTTCATTTTTTTTTTGTTTTAACTTTAAACATAAGATCTTTTGTTTTTATTTTACGATGGATATATGTAATACACTAAAGAGTCCAGCAGTAACATTTTGTACCACACAAGATAAAGATAACATCCAACAGGATGCACATATCGACCGACCACCGGTCTTTAGTTGTCATTGCGCTAAAGACAACTCAATTATAGATAGCTTTGGAAAGATTATCTATACATTATCTATCATTTATATCCTGTTAATGATATCAATAGTTATATAAAGGCAAAGGCTAATATGTGTGTTCCTATTGATCAAATAAATTCAAAGTCTTTAAAAGATTATATATCATTCAAAATTTTAGTTCCAAAATACAAACTAGACTTGTTTATGCAAGATGAATTTTGGCCTGAAGGAATTGCCTATCGTCGTTTTATTGATTTTAAAAGAAAAAGGGAAGCCACAAGTGACCTAACACGGCAATTTGTATAATAATAAAGAATTATAATATTAACATCTAATTACTATGGATTATATATTGATCTGAAATAAATACTTATTATTATTATTATATCTTTTTCTTTTTCTCGAAATATATAATTTCGGTGTAATGAATCTCACGGGCTTACGCCAAGTGAGAATCATCATTAGTTATTGTTTGTTGATTAGGGGAATCGTCTTGCAGAAACTTTCGGACTATGCGACATGTGTTCAGAATAGTGGCTTTTTGCATACTTATGAAAGTGTTAGGTGATAAATCTATAACGCGGAGAGAATGCAGCAAATACTTTGGTATAACTCCTGTACTGGAAAGCACCAACGGTACAATATATACTTTATTCATTTTCCATATTCTAATAACTTCTTCTTTTAATTCGGTGTATTTATGTATTTTTTCTGTTATAGTTTTTTGTAAATTGTGTGTATCCGGAACTGCAATATCAATTAAATAAGTTATTTTATTTATTTTATCTATAAGGGTTATGTCCGGTCTATTGTTGTGGATGGTTTTATCAGTTAATATTGCTCTATCAAAGTACATCTTGTAATTGTTGCTCTCCAAGACTGGTTTTGGTGTATATTGATAGTATGGCTGGGGTTTATCTTGTATTAATTTATGTTTACTGGCTAGTTTTTGGTGAATCATATGGGCTATTTGATTATGCCGATGAGTATAATCCGTTTGGGTAAGGCTAGGACAGGCACTGGTAATATGTTGTATGGTTTCTGGTTGGCGATGACATTTCCGGCATTTATCACTTTTTAAGGTTGGATCTTTAAGAATGAACTTTTTATAATTCCTCGTATTAATTACCTGATCTTGTATGGCAATAATAAAGCCCTCTGTCTCTGGAAAAAGGTATCCTAGCTTTAGCCACTGATTGGATGCTTGTAGATCTATGTGGTTTTGTTCGAGGTCATGAATATGTCTGCCATGTAACTCTTTGCTGCGCCATTTTGTTAGTTTTTCTGCTAGATAATCCTGACTTGAAATGAATTCGCGGTCTCTATTATTTAAATTAAGTGGAGTGTAATTAGTGTCGGTTTCTACTGTAGCTAAATGAATTTGAGTAGTTTCAGCCTTACTATAAAAGAAATTTCTAAGATTTTGAATCTGTTTTTCCCATAAAACTCGAATGTCTATCACCCCTCTACCGCCCTTACTTCTTTGCACAGTCATACGTTCTATTGCTGACTTTGGATGTAGATAATTGTATTTTGTCAAAGTGGTTCTTATTTTAATTTCTAATTTATTTATATCTGTAGCTGACCACTTGACTACTCCGAAAGAATATGTAAGTACTGGTATGACATACGTATTTATTGCTTTAACTAAATTTTTAGAGTACAGTGTTTTTTTACAAATTTTATGTAATCGTCTAAAACATTCGTTGCTTAAATCTTTTTTTATCTGTGTATGATTAATTGTTCTACCTTCATGTAAACCTAGATATTTGTAGCTTTCGTGCTCTCCCATAACATCAAAATAATCAGCCGGTTCATTACTCTGAGTTGCAATTTTACCTGATCTTAGTTTCAATATTTTACATTTATCCACACCAAAAGTCATGTTAATATCGTTACTAAATTCAGCAGTTATTTCTATCAACTTATTTATTTCTTTATCAGACTTTGCAAATAACTTTATATCGTCCATGTACATTAAATGACTAATATATGTGTTTGATGTCAGCTTATATCCAGAGTTAGGGCTATTAAGAAGATAAGATAATGGATTAAGTGCCAAGCAAAACCATAAGGGACTGAGTGAGTCTCCTTGGAAGATGCCATTAGATATTGGGATATCATCAGTTACTATACAGTTGCTGCCATTATTTAACAATAGCGTAGTTCTCCATGTTCTCATGACATCCTCCAGAAAAGAGATTATGCGGGGATTTATTTTATATATTTGTTTATTATTATTATTATTATAATTATACAGATAAATAAAATTATGTGTTTGTTTGTAATTTGAAAATAACGGCTTTTTACTAAATGCATATGAAAGTATATACCGTATATACTTTCATATATAATATATACTATACGGTATTAATAAGAAGTAAACCATTTTAAAAAAATTGTCTGTTTGTTCACGCTAATCTCCGAAACGGCTGGACCGATTTTGAAAAGACTTTCACTGGCGGATAACACTAACTATCTAGTTGGTGTTATAGGAATAGGAGTTACTTAGGGCACTTTTATTTTAGAAAAAGAACCAGGGTTCCGTGCAAAAAAATCAAAACGGGACGCATCCGAGCGAAGCGTGGGTAAGTCACTAGTTCATAATAATAACAAATCGTAACAAGAAACCCAGTTTCATAAATGTAAGAACATAATCTTATAACTCGTTTTAAGTTATAATTTAAAACTACCACCATATTTCATCATCCATGC